CTCTGAGCTCGTGCTGATATCTACTCTGAGAGCCTGAGCCTGAGCACCCTCATTAAAGCGGCGGCAGCCCAAATAGGGAATCCCCACCCGCCAGGGAAAATCCGGTACGTATAGGTACATACGTAGCCCTTCTCGAGTGTTCTGTAGCTCTGCGAAGTTATAAGATCCCCCCGTCCCCTCGCTCTCCATCACTACAAACCATCACTATAAACCTTTTAACTTCACCCTTTATCACATCACACATTCACAATGGCTTGGGGCTGGCGTAAGTGACTCCTATTATGGATCAGATCTCTCGCATTGCATGCAGGCGGATTCCCGCCTGCATGACTTGCAATCCCCGGTCGATTGGGCCTATGCAAGTCCATGCTGACCACCACCAGACGAATCTGAGCAGGCTCACCAGCAGGTGTACAACGGTGAGCAGCACCACGAGGGCAAGTTCTCCCACGAGTTCGCCGCCGGTGCCGCTTCCTTCGGTGCCATGAAGGCCTACGAGGACCATGAGCGCAAGAACGGTTCGTTCCTCCCCCCTGCTGATCTCTTCTGTACTGACCCGTTACAGGCAAGCCCGTGAGCCACGCTTTCGCCAAGGAGCTCCTGGCCGGCATTGTCGGCGGCGAGATTGACAAGCTCGCCGAGACCAAGGGTATGGACTGGGTTGATCGTGAGAAGGCCCACCACCACGCCAAGGAGAACGCCAAGCACATGTACGAGGAGCGCTACGAGCGGGGCAACTACTAAATTGCCCTGAAATGAATGAATGATTTGTTTTTATGAAGAATCTGACTGAACACTCTTGATCCACGAAGGAGCGGTGAAGGCCACGTAAGGCTGTAAGGTGTAGGATCATCATTGGACGCCAAGTCTGATAACCACGGAGCACGTAGTCGAAGAGGAGGCCGAGTATGCACGGTTCCGACGTACGTAGCCCTACGCACACCGTCGCAGATACCCGGTTCCCGAGAGTAAATATGCCCGCTGGGGCAGGGATGCCTCCAGTAGGGCCCGGATGTTTTTCTTCCAGCGGACCAGTAATCACCATGAGAACCCGCCGGCCACATTCCTGCTGCATTCCAACGCTGTCGGAGCTTAGATAGACCATCTGATGCTGATATCATGGCCCGTTTGGCAATTGGACGATAGATCGGAAAAAAAAGGGGTATTTAGCAGGGTCAATAGTGTCAGTATGCGCGTTGCACAGCCCACGTCAACAATAGTGAAGTCAGGAGATTCCTTAAAAGAGACCTGTGGAGCTGATCGTCAAAGGGTGTGCACGGGGCTGACCAATCAGCAACCCAGGCTGACCATTACAGATAGACAGCCTGATACATCAGGCAGCAAAAGAGGACGGTCTACACGTGCCAAAAGTATAGGGTCAGAGACTGTTCGTCTTAAGCATTTCTCTCTGCATCGGATTCTCCTTGTTTTCTCCTCGGCGTCCTCGGTGTCCTGGTTTTGGATTTCTTTGATCGGAGCCCGATCTCTCCGATCTTTCTTTGTCTGTGGCGTTGATCACCTGCTTTCAAGGTTTCGACCCCTCGCACACTGTGTGAGTTTCAATGTCTCACAGTCTTCTCTGCCATGACGGTGCAGTATGAAGTTTGCCAAGTAGGTTTCTCCCAGGTGTGACAGACAAGTGACAGACCGGTGGCTGACGCGCGCAGAGAGCTAGAGCAGGAGCTCGTGCCTGAGTGGCGGGCAAAGTATCTTGACTATAAGGTGAGTCGTACCTGCATCACTTCGCAGGCCGTCGCGCTGATCCCCTTGCATTCAGACCGGAAAGAAGAAGGTCAAAGCCATCACGCGCGCCCTTCAGAAATCCCACCGCAGTCCCCGGATCCCGTCCTATCGCCAGCCCACCCCGCAGAGTCGAGGCGCCCAGTTTCACCTGACACCCTCCAATACCGATAAACACCTGGATGCGGAGAGGAATGAGCCCTCCACCCCGCAACGAGGCCCGGATACCCCGGGCGCGCGATCCACGCCCGTCCAACGGACCGAACGTCAGCCTCTCCGAACGCCCCAGTCGCGATTCTCGGAAAATGTGGGCAGCTATGGGAGCATCTTGGCGACGCCTCCGCAGCAACACCGTCGGGGAGAGTCGGACGCGGCATCCTTCGAATTACCGGATCCAGCGATGGACCCGGACGACAACTACCTGCCGACCGAGGAGCACACCGAGCGACCGAGAACCGTGCGAACACCGTCGCCGGTGATGGATCGGCGGGTCGCGGGGAGCATCACCTCCTCACCTTCGCAGCCTGTGGAGGCTTCTCCGGGGCAGAGACCGGTCCTAGAGCAGCGCCCAAGCTATCAGAGCCCAATGAGTGGACTTACCAAGGTTCCCTCAAGTAACCGCGGGTCGCAGCTACTAAGGCGCGTCTTCACCGCGGAGGGAGAGCCTGGCGCAAAGCGTTCGCAAGACGCTGGCGGGGCTGAAACCGAGAAGCGGCATGATGAGTTCTTTGAGTTCTTAGACTCAGAGCTGGAGAAAATCGACTCCTTCTATCTGGCCAAAGAGCAGGAAGCTACGGAGAAGCTCCGTGTTCTCCGTCAGCAGCTACATGTCATGCGTGACCAACGCATCCAAGAAGTCCTGGCCTCAAAGAGACAAAATAAACATGATGACGAAGATGGCCTTCCAAGAACAAATGGGTTTACCAAGTTGAACAATAACCTGAAAGATACGATTGTTGGCAAGAATCGATTCGGCAAGAATTCGGAGGCACTCGCCCAGATGGCAACTCCAGGGATGCATCCGCAGGATCGAGACTTTATTGTCAATCGGAGAGACTTCATGCGTCGGCAAGAACCTCAGACCCAGGAAGTGTCCTACCGCTCTGCGAAACGCAAGCTCAAGCATGCGCTGCAGGAATTTTACCGTGGCGTCGAGCTGCTGAAGGGTTATGCCTACTTGAATCGCACTGCATTCCGAAAAATCAACAAGAAATACGACAAAGCGGTCAATGCCCGCCCGCCGCTGCGTTACATGTCGGACAAGGTGAACAAAGCGTCATTCGTTCAGAGCGAAGTGACTGAAAGTCTCATGGTTGCAGTCGAAGACCTGTATTGTCGGTACTTCGAGCGCGGTAATCGTAAAATTGCTGTTTCAAAGCTTCGTCACACTATCAATAAGTCGGGCGATTTCTCGCCCAATACCTTCCGATCAGGTCTCTTGTTGATGGGTGGTGTTCTGTTCTCAATCAAAGCTCTTGTTGATGCTACACAAAACCTGCACTCTGGCACAGTCGCCGAGCAGGTTCAAACCAGTTATCTCCTACAGGTTCGTTATCACTGTTAAACCGCCTCCATGTTTCCTTAACTGACGTGAGCAGATATACGGCGGATACTTTCTGATCGTATTTCACGTCCTACTGTTCTGCGTGGATTGTATGATCTGGACAAAATCGAAGATCAACCATGCGTTTGTTTTTGAATACGATTCTAGACATACTTTAGAGTGGCGCCAATTGCTTGAGGTACGTTTCCCTCGATCGATTTCCCTGGCACTTGATATTGACATCAGTACAGATTCCCTCCTTCTTCCTCTTCCTGATGGGCCTTTTCATGTGGCTCAATTTCTCATGGTACAATCACATGTATATCTACTGGCCCGTCGTCCTGATCGGCTTAACGGTCATCATTATATTCCTGCCAGCTCGAGTGTTACACCACAGGAGTCGTAAATGGTTTGCTTTCTCGAATGTGAGTCATCTTTCATACCCTTGGGATACACGGTTTCTAATTCATGCAGTGGCGTCTTTTGCTCGCGGGCATCTACCCCGTCGAGTTTCGTGACTTCTTCCTTGGCGACATGTACTGTTCCCAAACATACGCCATGGGAAATATCGAGCTCTTTTTCTGCCTGTACGCTTCTCACTGGGGGTATCCCCCCAAGTGCAATTCGTCCCACTCTCGCCTCCTCGGTTTCTTCCAGTGCCTTCCCTCCGTTTGGCGTGCGTTCCAATGTATTCGACGATACTTGGATACACGGAATGCATTCCCTCACCTCCTGAACTTGGGCAAGTACCTGTTCGGTGTTCTGTACTATGCTACCCTTAGCATGTACCGCATCGAGCTCTACACGCGCTTCCAGGCTGCCTTCATCACCTTCGCACTTTTGAACGCCGTCTACACCTCCGTCTGGGATCTCATCATGGACTGGAGTTTAGGTAACCCCTACGCGAAAACCCCCATGCTCCGCGAAGTGCTCGCCTTCCGTCGTGTGTGGGTCTACTACGCAGCCATGGTCCTCGACGTGGTCGTCCGCTTCAATTGGATCTTCTACGCAATATTCATCACCAACATCCAACAGTCCGCGCTCCTCAGTTTCGTGATCGGTTTATCCGAAGTCTGCCGCCGTGGTGTGTGGTCTATCTTCCGTGTCGAGAACGAACATTGCACCAATGTTCTCCTGTTCCGTGCTTCCCGCGATGTTCCCCTCCCCTACGACATCCCCACCGTAACTCCTGATCTCGATGGCTCGCCGGAAGACGTCCAATTACAGGAACAGCAGCAGCAACAGGTTTCCACGCCCTTCACGGGTGCCGACGTCGAACATGGCACCCCGTCCGGATCCAGTGTGCGGACCCGCCCCCGCCGCCCTTCCATTGGTATCAGTCGAGTCGGCACGATCGTTGCGTCGGCACACGCTCAGGACTTTGAGCGTAGACGTCTCCCGACGGCGTACTTGTCCCAGGGGAGTGTGGGACGGGATATGGCACCCGGTGCAGAGGATAGCAGTGACGAAGAAGATGAAGGCGATCTGAGCACCGATGAAGACTCAGCCAACGGAGGTCATCGGTCCCGGCCCGTGTCTGAGCGGAGGGATCAGATGGGCCGGATTGTCGAGTGATGTCGACCAATTCAAAAGTCTCGATATTTGCTGTGCATGAATTATAGATATGAAAATCTTGCATATATGGCTTATGCTATGAATAAACATTAATATTGCTTTCGGTTTTCCACTCGCACCATCGGGAACACCCCCGACTCTTTGTTTAGGCAGGTCTCTCCTCGGGAAGCCATCCGTCTGGTACGTGCCCTGGTACGTGCGTTGGGCGTCGCCACGAACCCATCAGACGCGCCATTTTCAAGTCTCTCGGCTTGTCTGACATGCTAGCGTATAGCATGCGCTGACGTCTAGGCCTGCTTCCCATAGAAGTAAGCTTCCGAGACCCGAAACCATGGCGATTGTATTTGCATTGCCACCTCCTGATTCTCGCTGGCATTGATGTCACGATCACCATGATTTCGTGAGTAATATAGCGCACCATGAACTTGCCGCGTTCGACGTCATGGAGTTGGAGCCTTGGACATCTTTCGTGTTGAGATTCTGCATGTCATGTCAATCGATTGCAGTGTAGATGCAAAGGTCGCATGAAGCCCATCTTAGGGCTAAAATCTGTCCGGACCGGGCCGGATGAACCATATCAGGAGTTGCCTGCCTGATTCCATGGTGATTTATTTTTCCAATGCAATTTTCATGGCATGCAGAGTGATAACTAGAATCAGTAGAGATGAAAGATTGAAAAGTAATCGAGTCAATGAACACGAATTATCGCACATTCAAGTATCCGGGAACGAATACTCGGGTTCAGTGCGGAGTGCCCCCGAGTCACAGACACGGGCTAGTTCAGTCAGAATGTTGATTCGGTTTAGGTAACAGCAATTGACTCGATTGCTAAAGCAGATTGCCAGATGAAGATGCATCCAACGTGCATGGGCGTTCGGAATGAGTTTCTTGTTCCTGTAGATAACTTGAACCTCCAGGGCTGACCCCAAAACCTTGAAGAATGTCTCCGCGACACGAGTATCTACTAGGTATCCCTGAACATATATCCAATTCGTGAGATAGTAACTGCGTAGATAATTCGAAGAGCATTTCGCGTGGATACTTTCCCGACGAGACGTGCCGATCTCGGAGAGAAACCGGGAACCGGGGGCTCGACCGGTCATCTCGGCCATGCAGAGATATTATTCCCCGTATTGCAACAGATGTATAAGTATCTCCTGTGCTATCTCTCAGGTGTTTATCTATGAGTTCATAGATACGAAGATATACTAGTAGACCTCACGCAATAATATCCGGAACTTGTCCGGGGGAAAACTTCCAAATGCCCGGCCAAACAGCCCATATCGTTCGGGGGCTCATTTCGACCCTAAAAAATCCCTTGAATGACGTGTGATCAGGCAGCACCAGTGTCATTTATCTCCGCGTCCTCCCCGTGGGGTAGACATGGAGACGGAACCTGGCAAATGCTGCTCCACATTGTCTCCACGGCGTCACCAGCATGAGGCCAACGATCCCCACCCAGAGTGGTGCTTCTCGGTGGAGACTGCTCCGTTTCCCTCGAGCTGATTCGAAACCTGATGCTAGTGCGAGGCATTTCGTAGAACCCACTGTTGGGTGTGCCTCTTTGCGGACTGGCGTAGTCGATCTGCAGGTTGTCCATTAAAAGGATGGGGATGTCCCTCCGAGAGTGACTCAGGGTTTGCCTGCCTCTTTGGCTCTCTACGTACATTATACACATTTTTGATCCAGTATGACCAATACGAACGATATGACCGATTTGAAGAAAGAGAAAGACCTCGAGTGTCTCGATGATGTACAACAAAGTGCCATTACCAACCACGACGATGTGTTTGGTGAAATTTCAGAAGGTGGCCCAAACTACCGTAGTGTACGTCTCTATCCCATTGAGCCCAGAACGTCTGGTTGACATTCTCCTAGGTAGGATGGTCGGGCACTGCCGTTCTCATGATGAAAAGTCAGCTGGGACTAGGTGTCCTTTCAATCCCCAGTGCCTTTGATAAACTGGGCCTCGTCCCAGGCTTGATCTGCCTCATTATCATCGCCATCATCACAACATGGTCCGATTACATGGTGGGAGTCTTCAAGCTGAAGCATCGCTCGGTCTACAGTATCGATGATGCCGGTGGCTTGATGTTCGGACCCATCGGACGGGAAGTCTTTGGCTTCGTGTTCTGCTTGTGTAAGTCGACTGAGATTGATCGACTGCTCAATGCTAACAGCACGACAGATTGGATCTTCGTGGCTGGCTCAGGAATGCTTAGTCTTTCCATCGCCTTCAATGCCGTTTCAAGTCATGCTACCTGTACTGCCGTCTATGTTGCTATCGCAGCCGTTGCAGGCATCGCGTTTGCGAGCATCCGGACCCTTGGACGCATCAGTTGGCTTGCATGGATTGGTTTGGTGGCTATCATCACTGCGGGTATGTTGCCATGTTTCTCTATCGATCATTGTACAAGCTCCTGACCACCTCGCTCTATAGTTCTGATCGTGACCGTCGCCGTGGGTATACAGGGTCGACCAGCATCCGCCCCCCAGGAAGGAGCCTGGGTATCCGATTATAAAATCGTGGCCAACCCTTCGTTCGCCGAAGCCGTCTCGGCCGTATCCTCACTCATCTTCGCCTACGCTGGAACCCCGGCATTCTTCGCCATCGTGTCCGAGATGCGGGAGCCTCAATACTTCACTCGATCGCTCATCATCTGCCAAAGTACCGTGACAGCAATTTACGTGTCGATTGGTTGTGTGATCTACTACTTCTGCGGCTCGTATGTCGCATCTCCTGCTCTTGGCTCTGCTGGCCCTACTGTGAAGAAGGTCAGCTATGGGTTTGCCATTCCGGGACTGTTGGTCACCACGATGCTCTTTATTCATGTCAGTCTCCTTCTCCCAAAGGCCTCAACATCAACTAATATATCCACAGTTGCCTGGAAAGTACATCTTCGTTCGCGCGCTACGTGGATCCAAGCACCTCACCTCTAACAGTGTCGTCCACTGGGTATCCTGGATTGGCTGCACATTTGGTGTCGGCGCCATCTCCTACATTGTGGCTAGTGCAATCCCTGTCTTCGATAGTCTGGTCTCGCTCGTGGGTGCGCTGCTTGGAACTTTCCTATCCTTCCAGCCGATGGGTTGCATGTGGCTGTACGACAATTGGAGCACGGGCAAAACCGAGCGATCCCCACGATGGATGGCGATGGTGTGCTGGAGTGTCTTCGTCATCTGTATTGGTACCTTTATGATGGTATCTGGTACATACGGATCGGTGGTCAGCATCATGGACGCCTATAATTCCTCCGGTGGCTCTGGAGCATGGTCTTGTGCGGACAATTCGAACTCATCATAGAGTTGAATCGTGTATCGGCTGCGGGAACAGCTGTACTTTATATACCCCTATTTGTATTACTATCTTGAAGGGCAGTGTTGCGGGATATCCGTGAACGGGCTCTGGTATAGAGAAATTCTCATTACATCGCAATCTTCGCCATCGCCATGATGCAGGTAAACCGTAGAATTGCGAGTGCGTAGGCGTAAGCCGGTGAAATGTCGTCGTGTAAGGAGGAGTTGTCATGTGAGTCAATTCCTGGCGTCTGTGTCAGTGAACTTGAAGGATAGTCGAGGGATGAGAAGAGAAGAAGAGAGATAGCCCTGCAGGCCAAGGTCACCACCAGGGCTGTCAGGTGATACTGCTACCCAACGGCATTTACAGCTTCCATCAACATCACATCCTCAGCGCCCAATTGATCAATCTTGGCTCCAGTCTTGCCTGATTGACTACGATTTGCCATCATGGAAACACGGATGCGCTACGATGCTGCTGCTTGGGAGACAAGCGACAGAGTAGCCGATGCCTGGGCCCTCTACATCCTCAACCAAGACATTTTCCAGGACATTGGGAACTTCCTTCTCAAACATCACCATGCGACTGATCCTGTCGAGTTTACGATCCTAGAGACAGGCGCTTTCAACACTGCTCTGCAGATGAATTTTGAAAGAACCCGCGCCGCGATCATACGGTTTCCATTGCCTGGTGCTATCATGTTCCCTGAAGAGAAAGTCCGCAATGAAGTCTCAACGATGCGATTCATCGCGGATAAAACCACGATTCCAATTCCGTTCATTATTCACTCCGGAGGGAAAAAAGACAGTCCTTCAGAATTGGGTCCCTTCATCATCATGGAGTATATCGATCATCATGCAAATATGATTGATATTCTCAAAAAGCCAGGACGTCCGACTAAAGAACGTGTGACACTCGATCCGGACATCATCCGGGCTAAATTGAAGACTCTTTATAAAGAGCTGCCAAAGGTCCTTGTTTCATTGTCTAGGCTGTCCCAGGATAAGATCGGCTCATTCTGTCAGGCCGATGACTTTACTTGGGAGGTGGCATGCCGATCTCTGTCTCTACATATGAATGAACTTGTCCGGTTAGGGACTCTCCCACAGTCAAAACTACCAGCTACCACATTCGATACTGCGTCTTCGTACTTTGAAGCCCTGGCTGAGCTACATGTCTCTCATCTCACGAGCCAAAGAAACGATGCTGTTCACTCAATTGAAGACTGTCAGCGCAAATTTGTTGCCAGATTTCTCTTCCGGAAGCTCATTCGAGATCCCCACCTCAAAGCACAATGGATCTCTTTTGTGAACGGACCATTTCCAATCTGGTGTGACGACTTTCGGCCGGGAAATGTCTTGGTAGATATCGACCTGAATATTACTGGGGTTGTGGACTGGGAGTTCACATACACCGCACCCGTCGAATTCACTCATGCGCCGCCTTGGTGGCTGCTTCTTGAGAAACCAGAATATTGGTCTCGAGGTCTTGATGACTGGTGTATAGAGTATGAGAAACGACTGCAGATCTACCTCGAGGCGATGGTGGAACATGAAGAAGATGTAATCCGGAAGGGACAGCTAGCAGAAAGCAAGCGTCTATCCAGTGCAATGCGACGGAGTTGGGAAACTGGGGACTTTTGGATCATGTATGCTGCCAGAAACAATTTTGCCTTTGACGCGATCTATTGGCAAAAGATCGACAGGCGATTCTTTGGTTCTACTGCCTGTGAAGGTGTCGATGTTTGCGACATTTGGAAGGGTAGACTGCATCTTCTGGAGCCTGAAGAGCAAAAGTTCATGCAGGAGCATGTAGATACGAAAATCCAGGAGATGAAAGCAGGCCAGGTCCTAGCATGGGACCCTGATGAGTATACCTTGGAATACATGGAATGCATGGAGAGAACGAATGAGCCGTCTTAAAGATGGAGTTGGCTTTCTTGTACCTTTTTCTTACACTATCCTTTCTTCTTGCCCAGGGTGTGTTCACCGAGGTAGATTCACAATCAAACTTAGACTCGAGATCCAGTCTCAACTGTGATGGAGCCATATTGGTGAGAGGAGCCTTTCAAATCCAAGTCGAGTATCTATCCAAGTCCTGGTCTGCTGGTATTCTTCATATTATAACCCATAGTTAGTATAAAGGCTAACGTTGGAAGATTTAGCAATCTTCGTCCCTTCCATATTCTGTATCTTAGCTCCTGCCAATACTTTTTATATTGACCTTAACTTCTCTCTCACACCTTCCTCCCACTTTCATTTCACTCCTTTCTCTGTGATCCTCTCACTATCCCGAGGTCTACTAGCCTCTCGTTCCTTTCTCTGATATTCTCTCTGGTATCTTCCCAGACTCATTCAGCCAAAGCAAAAAAAGGGCATAACATTACAATCCCAGGCCGGAGTTCGCCTTTCCGACCAACTGGTTTCGTCAGGACACAATCACACGGCGTCCGCTCCAGACAGAGGGGCCAACGATGGCCCTTTGACTTCAACTCAGATGGTGATATCCGCCCTGGCAGGATTCCCTTCGGTCTGGGTATCTTCGTACGTGCGGCCAGTTTACTGTGGTATCTCTTGAAGATTGACAATGAGTCCTAGGTATGTGTATCTGAATCGTGTGGAGACTTGATTCTAATATTTACCAGTGGTCATACAAGGCCTTCATAGTTACCGAAAATGACTACGAAGAAGTCCTAGGTATTATTGTCCATTTGATCGCCGCCTTGACTGAGTCTGTCCGTTCCTTACACCTGGGAATCTATAGTTCAAAAAGGAGCTGTCGTTACGCTGGGAACTTGAGAATGCCCTGTGCGATGTCACTGTGTCACAGCCCTGGAGGGCGAATCGAGTACTCCATTTGGTATGAATTTTACTACATCTTCTGTCTACAGATTCAATGATCCTTCACTTTATCTTCTGTCTACAACGCAGTACTCAGATTCAGATTCAGTGACCATTCACTACATCTTCTGTCTACGACGCAGTACTCAGATTCACCTGATCACAACCGCTTCAACGACCCTCTCACCTTCTTTCGTACCCATTGCCCAAGATCGACTTCCTCTCAAAGATCCAGAGCAAGGTACATCACCGCAAAGGTCATTTGCTACGGGGTCATTTGAATGATTCCTGCCACCACTCCGAAGCCGTCATCCAAGCAACCCTAGGCATTGAAGGTTTGATTCGTGAAGAATCCGTCCGTCTGAGCGGAAACCCCATACCGAAACTTCCATCGAAGGTTTGACGGACAGTGAGGATGAAGACGAGATTGAGGAGCAGCTGGCGCGAGTGATCCAGCAAGCGGAGGATGATTCCTACCTTGCTGATGACTCGGAAAACTAACCACGCCCGCTTCGGGGACCCTGACCCTGCCGGGCGGACGCTCAACAGGGACGGGGATGAGAGAAGCTGCTGTCACGAAAGTTATTTGTTACACGGGGACAGAAGCGGCGAGAGACGTTGCACGTTACTCATTCGATGAGTCAGTTTACCGCTCAACAATGCCTCGCATTCATGGGTAAGTGACACGGCCTTTAAAAGCAAGTATTCAGACACAAGCTTACAACTGCAGAGCGATGATATTCTGGGCGCGGGGCGCCATCTGGGGGATTAAAATTTCCTCCAGATTGGGCCAGACGGCGAGGTACGTGTATCTTAACATTCTATTAGCTTACCCCCAGAAAAAGAAAATTTCGCTGACAAGTTGCTCAGTCTGCCATGGTGCAATTTAACTTGGAAGTGGTTAAATGCGCCGCAGGACATCATGTCCACTAGGCAGTACCTAGTCATCCTTAGCGCGGCGAGGTGGTGTTGGATCACATGGTGATCCGCTTCTATAGTTCCTAGTTCTTAGCTCTTCTTTTTCCATCAATCTCATGGCTTTTAGTCAGTTTCTTCTTGCGAGTAGCTCTTAGAACTGGCCTAGGGCTCTAGAGTCTCGTCTTGTCATTGGAGGCGCTGCAGACACACGGGTGTTCAGTACTGCAAGGCTTCTAGCTAGTTGGGCCGCACAATGGTCATCTTACCGAGGTCACTTAGCAACAAAATTTATTCCGAAAAAGACAAAGCGTTGATGAAATGATCCATGATCTACCTAGGTACTAGGTACCAGTGAAATCGTTCAGACTCAACTGATCAACTAGACCAAGCCTGTGCTGAGTTTTACCAACACCATGGCATATCCCCGGGGGCTAGATCCGACTCATTCCCAACAGACCCACGAGATGAACGGTCGGAGGCATACATGTCGTAGGAATCTTCATTCGACTCGCAAATATCATCAGGAATGTCTTCGAATCGACACCCGCCGAGGGATTGGGCTGTTGACGAAGGTAGAGCCAATCGAGGCAGAATTTTGGTTTTGAAAAGATCGATTGCTTGTTTGATGATCTCCCAAACCTGGGCAACGATTTGGTCTCGCTCACTATCCCAGTCGAAGATACGCTTGGTATACTAAAGGCCAGTTAGCTCAAAGACACTTTTGAGTATGCTCGGCTGAAGGGAAGAGTACCTGGCTCCATCCGGAGATGTGTATGAATGTCCACGTGCGTCCATCGATCATAATCCCGTACAAGATTGAGCTCCTTCCCGCGACCTTGCGAGCCCTGTGAATCCTGCCCATATTGTGAAGCAAGGACGAGCTCTGGGACTCGGGGGACTTTGATTTCATCACAATCAGGTTGGTTTCTAGCTCAAAGCAATGGCCATACCACAGAACATAATCAATTTCATCCTCAATCGCCAGGCTCAAGTCATCGGAGGTATTTTTCGGTAGAAGCTGTTTCTTGAAACTCCAGTGTGGTTTCTCATGATTGTTCCCCTCGATCGGTCGACGCTCACGGTCATCCGGGTCCGGTCCACCAGACGACGGCTGGAGAAGAACCCCGTGATCCGCTCGTATCTCGGATGCGAGTAGCGCCAACAAGACCGATTCCACCAGCAGTGGACTGAGTGTTTCGCATTGATCTGTTAGGCTCTTAAGATCTTCCCAGTAAAGAACTAAGAAGGGTTCAGTCAACTGGCTTGAATGCAACTCCTGAGATGAAGCCATGCTTACCCAGATGATCCGGGGCTTCCCAAACATTTCTTGCCTCAAATGGCCTCCGATTCCACCACTTGTTCCACCATTTAGGGGGCGACAAATGAAAGATGTCGGCTACACGACGATCTTCTTCTGATCCTGATATTTCAGACATAATAACGAGATCACGTCTTGATTGGGGAAGGTTGTAATGAAAAAGGTCGATGTAGGAGGAGAAAGAGGAAAGAGAGTGAGGAGCGAGAGAAATGGTCATGAATGCCGCAACCCTAAGTTAGTGTTCATGCTTTCGACCTCGGGAGCCTTCCAAGGTTGCAAGGCGCGATGGACCTTGGGAAAGAGCCCAGATGACTAACTAGGTACTCAGCGAAGCCCTGATCCGTGGATCTATAAGGCTTTATCTGGGCAGGTTCCAGGGTTCGACACGTCCCAATACACAGGAAACCAATAGAAACAGGGGAACGTTTCAGCCTTGGAAGCTTCCAAGATTCTAGCCCTAAGGCCTGGATGGTCCCATAGTTGACCTCCGCTACTCCTACAGCCAAGTATGAGCCTACATTGGCGACGTCTGTAGCCTGGATACGTAAGATCACGTCTTTCTTAGTGATCCTTCACTTTATCTTCAAATATTCTGTCTAGACGCAGTACCCAGACAGTGAGCCTCCACTCCATCTTCTGTCTCTCTTGTGCTCCCAAGAATCTACCTCTAAGGTCTGTCAACCTCTCTCTCGTCGAATCTTTCGGTTCTTCACTCCGTGCTCTCTTACTTTCTACGTCGCCTTGATCCCACCAAAGCTTCGTCAAACCCCTCTGACCCGGTCAAGTATACCTGCAGCTACTTTGATCCCGTCAAGACCAACTCAGATTCACCTGATCTCAACCGCCTCGACAACCTTCTCTCCTTCTTTCGTACCAATTGCCCAAGATGGACTTCCTTTCAAAGATCCAAAGCAAGGTACACAAGCTGCGGGGTCACTTGAATGACTCCCGCCACCAAAACGAATCCGTCATCGAGGCGACCCAAGCCATTGAAGCTTTGATTCGTCAGGAATCCGTCCGTCTGAGCGGAAACCCAATACCTAAACTCCCATCGAAGGCCGTCACGGACCTCAGAAGGGAGAAAATACCAGAGATCTTTCGCCTCAAACAAGTCCGTTCATCACGGCTCCTCCTTGGCCTCAATGAAACCGACATAAGGATCTCAGTCCCCTCCACTCTCGGTACGTGTAGTAAGATTTTCGATTGAATCTTCATACTAACTTCAGCAGAAAGTATCCTCGACGATTATCGTCTGGCCACGGAAGGTAGCCCCGAGAACGAGGCGCTATGTCGAACGAGGATCGACAGCATCGTTCTCGTGACCCTTGCCAAGGTAAAGAAGGACATACTAGTGAAGGACCATAGGTTATCTACCGCCTCGGCTGCGTCTGTCCATTCCTTGCATCTACAGTTCGAAAAGGAGCTGTCGTTGAGCTGGGAAATTGACAAGGCCCCGTGGAATATCACAGGGCAGATAGATTACTCGATTTGGTATGGATCCCCTGGTGAGTTGGAGGCTAATTGCATCATGGTCGAGGCAAAGAAGCTAGACGAAGCCGGGACGGGAGTGAAACAATGCCTTGCATGTATGGGTAAGTGACATGGCCTTCAAAAGCAAGCATTCGGACACAAGCTCACAATTACATAGCCATGATATTCTGGGCGCGAAAAAGGGCCGACAGAGGCGACCAGCCAATCTGGGGGATCGCAACAGATTCCTGGGAATGGCACTTCCTCCAGATTGGGCCAGACGGCCAGGTACGTGGATTTTAACATTCCCTTGGCTTGCCCCCAGAGAATTTCGCTAACAAGTTGCTCAGTTTTCCTCCGTGACATACAAGTGGTACGAGGCGCCCCAGGATGTTATGTCCATGATTTACAAGATTGTTTTGAGCACGGCAAAAGTCGCCGCGTCTCGGCCCTCCAGCAATCGGTGGTCTTCGGGCTCTGGCCTGAGCATTGAGGCCATGAGCCTTTAGTTGAATTTTTTTCACAGTCAGGGTTAGCTAGTTGAGCCAAGAAATGGCAATCTCCACTTTTCAAACAAATTTGCTTGATAAAACTTCCAATTGTAAGTAGTAATGTAGATGTCAAGGTGGTCCACGGTGTCCACGGTGTAGATCGTCGGGGACCGGGGTGGATTCCAAGGTGGGGATCTTCCAGGGTTGGCTTATCACACGTGACATGTCACATCATCCCGGAGCCTCTCCCCAGGCGCTCATTGTTCACTTCATCTCCTAACCTCAACCACTCGATACTCTCTGTCTTCGGTTTCAAAATGGCATCCAACGCCAGATATGAACCGGCTCCTCAGCGGGACTCCCTAGATGAGCCCTCTTACTCCCAGGCCCCGCCCTCCTACCAGGCAACAGCGGAGCCCGCGCCTCGCACCGAAGGCGACAACCTGCCCGATGACTTCAAGGTACGGCTGTGGTTCTCTCGAATGCTCCTTTGATACCTTTGGTGGACATAAATACTGACCAGATCGCGTAGTTTGGAGGCACGGTGGCGGAGGGAACTATTGACATTCGAATGCAGTTTGTTCGCAAGGTCTACTCCATCCTGTATGTCACTCGAGTCGCGATGCCCCTCAGCACTAAAAACTGACTGACATCTCTCTTCAGAACCGCTCAGCTTCTCCTCACCACCATCCTCAGCTCGATCTCCTTCCTGAGCCAGTCATACCGCGACTGGATCAGAGCGAACACCTGGCTGATGATAATCTCCGTCTTCGGCGCACTGGGCTTCATGCTTGCAACCTTCTGGAAGCGCAAGTCGTACCCCGCCAACCTGCTGTTCCTATCCGGATTTACCCTTCTCGAGGCATATTCCATCAGCGTGGTCGTGTCCTTTTACGAGGTCAGAGTCGTCGTGCAAGCGCTCATCCTTACTTTGGGAATATTCGTCGCCTTGACCCTATTCGCCTGCCAGACTAAATATGACTTCACCGATTGGATGCCCTACCTTTTCGGCGCGTTGTGGTTCATGATTCTTTTCGGATTCGTGGCCATGTTCGTCCCATTCGGCAGCACCGTCGAGATCATCTATGGTGTCCTTGGCGCGCTGATCTTCTCAGGCTATATCCTTGTTGATACGCAGCTTGTTATGCGACACTACCATGTCGAGGAGGAGATTGCTGCTTCGATCTCGCTTTATCTCGACGTGCTCAACTTGTTCATGTCGATTCTGCGCATCCTGAACGGCGCCAACAACAATAACTAATTGCGTATTCACCCAGATCACTGAGGCAAGCAAGGTAACCTTTGATCTTTCCGTCTGGTCAAGAGGATCACGGACTCGAGTGGTCACGGGAAGAACATATTGCTCCAGAACAAGTTTCACAGACAAGGATGTTGCTACCTAGTATCTTGACAATTGTGTCTTGTTCAGCTATCCCTCGCACATTCGCTCAATCTTGTCAAATACCCCATGCCCCCTATGACTTGACTTTCCGTGCTACTTTATCCTGTATTTTCCGAGTATCTTAAGGGAAGGACCGGAGACAACAGTTACAGATGAGAGATCGCTCACTTGCGAACAGCCTAGTGTAATCAGAATGGAAATCCGAAGTCTACACATGCATTCCCAGGTGCCCAGGTGCAGCGATTGAATTAGTCAGATAGATACAAATCTCCAAACGCCCAAGAATCAGCCCAATTGAGATAGGCTCCAGACGCCAGGAGGCCCTGTAGAAGGAAAAAGGAAAACACCGAAGTCCACATCCCGAATAATGCGGACCTTGAAGAAAGAAAAGTATGCACAGTGAAATCAATAGGTGTGGGTATAGAGAAATCCCGAACCTCTGAAGTATGACAGGCTCAGATGCCAAAAGAAAATTTAGGGGAAATGCCCGGTCCCGTCGAGGGCGAGATGACTTCTCAATGCGAAGCCTTGAAGAATGTGTTCGTGATCAGGCATACAACCATGACAAGGAAGCCATAGGCAGCCAATGCCAGACTGAGACGACGGAGAATTGCCTTGCGCCAGTGGCGGGATCCACGGGGGAGGAGGCCACTCTCAGTCAGAGAACGAGCAAGGGAGCCCTCTCCATCGTCGCCGTTATCGTCATCAGACAAATCGTCATCTACTTCATCGTCCTCCTTCAGCAGACCGCGGTGGGTCGGCGAGTCCGGGGAGGAGATCTTGTAGTAAAAGAGGCCAGGCAGAATGAAGCTGATGCTGGTACTGCCAGTGCTACCAACGTAAGCTAGGACCGCTTCGAGGGACGACACGGTCATGGCGACAATGTAGCTGAGAATAAGGATGGTAGTTGTTATGACGGAAAAGCGTAGATCGCTCATCGGTTCCGGCGTGCGATTGCCGCGGGGACCCAGGAGTGGGTGGCGGTGAGGTGAGCCCTCGGTGCCACGAGGTTGCGCTTGAGGACGCCATTTCAGGACGGCATCAACCGACGCCCGGCATGGGTGGCACTGGAGCGGGTAAGAGAAGACTACCAGCATGACGATTGCGGCACGTCCGATCGTCGCATACAAGCCAGGCGGGTACATGCCGACGATATTTCCGCCAACTTTGTTGCCAAAGGACAAGTATCCAGTGATAGCGACAAGGATGTAAGTTGCGGCTGCACTTCCTGTGCTGGCCAAAACCACCGCAGTGGTGCGGAAGTGGCTGTTGTTGGCAATTTCGTTGAGAATGGAAAACATCTGACATGACCGTTAGATGCGTGTGGATTCGACAACCTTTTGAGCTTACATTTTGATGGCAGGTGAATGCAAATACAATAACAGGCAGGCTGCTGAGAGTCGGGATTGGGCCAGCCCAATGGCCCACGCGGATGGGGCCTCGATCTTCCATTGTATCTCCCAAGACGAAATGATACACAACCAAAACGACCAGGTAGGCCATTGACACCAAAGCTGCGATACTGGTGTACTTCAGGGAGTCCAATCGGCGCAAGTAGGAGAGGGGTATCACGATTAACCTGGAGAGCATCAGCATGAAGTACAGTTCAGTATACTGCACGGAACCACTCACATGAAAGCTGTGACCCAAAAGTGACGGTCTACCAAGAAATCATAGCCAGGCTCACTGCCGACAAAGCCCTGAACGACACCGGGCATCAAATCTCCGATGATGATGAGATAGCTCACTCCGACTCCGAAACATTTGATCGCGATCGCGCCATCGAAGACCACGGCAGCGTTAGGGTATGTCAATTGTGACAGTGCAAAGAATGAGGCGCTACCTCGGTCGAGATATTGGGCGCATAGTGATTGTAAGTAGAGGCCGAATCCTGCGGTCATCCCAGACCATATGACAACACAGACACCGAGGACAATTCCCATGCGTGAGATGGCGAGGGGCATTGCAAGCACACCAGCACCAACAACTAGTACAGATATGTATTAGTTGATTTGATCCCTCAAAGATCGCATGCGCGTGCACTCACTAGTATTCACCAAGTTAATGACGCTACTCGCCCAACTGGCCTCCCCCACAATGTCACCAGCCCGCCTGCGCCCTGCCCGTCTGATACGCAGAAACAAGTCAGTACTATGACACTCCAGTCCACCTGTGTGCTTCTTTGAACTTGCCTGCGTGCATGTTGTCCGGGCGGACCAACCCCAATAGTAGCCTCCTCCATTTGGTTCTTTCAAACAGCGATTAACGGGCGATTGTGACAGGCGAACCACACATAGCGAACACTACCAGTGGTAGGAATTAAAAAGGGATATAAGAGAACGTGAGGGGGGAAAGACGGGGTTATGGGAGAAGAGAAGAAGGGAAAGATGGCCGAAGGGTCCTTATCGCGATTAGCACATGACCGGCCCTCCTCCGACTTGGTGCCTAATTTCATTTCCTTGGCTTTACGTACTCCGTACTCCAGGGGCTATTACTCTCAAACACAGAGTATTGGAGACACATATTCCTTCACTTTCATGCATATGGCGTGATTACAGCTTGGGCAGTCCCCATCCCTTTCGCCCCATGTCTTGATAGCTCTCTTCCTCCGCAAGGCGATGCACCGATGCCGTATTGCCCGGTCGATCCCCAGGACCAGGATCATTGAATTGACCCACAGCACGAACAGTCTTTGAGCATTCCAGAATTGTTCCACCGGATACCTTGTATAATGGACCCCGACCCGACCGATCCCCAATGATCTCACTTACTTCGTCTTGCTGGACCAGTGCCAGCATCACCTCCGCCACTTCCTCAGGAGTCACCCACACATCTGTCTTAGTGTCAATCAGGCGCGTTTTCTCAGGGTTATCCATCCAGAGTGGTGTTTTGATGACCCCCGGGGCTACAGCAGTCACCCGGATTCCCAGCCTCTGGTCGAGAGAACTGAGCGACCGGACCAGGCCGTTGATGGCATGTTTGGTGGCGCAATAGATGGGTGCTGTGAGGTTGGCATTCTGGCCCGCAATGCTGGAGATATGGACGATGTGCTTGGGACCAATGCTGTCACGATGCTTGAGGAAATACGCAATCGCCAGCTGCGTCGTGCGGATTGGATGGGTGACATTGATATCAACGAGGGCGTATCGACCACTCCCAGGCAAATCCTTGCTCTTCTCTGAATGAGGTGGGTGCCAGAAATTGGACCAATACTACATCGCAAACGGATCAGGATCTTGTTAGGGGTCTCTCGCGTCTAAATCTTACCGGCTCGTAGACTCCAGCTCCCGGGCACACGATGTCGATCGAACCAAATTCCTTCTCGGCAACTTCAAACATCCGCTCTAACTGGATCCAGTCAATCACGTTGGTTTCTTGGAACACAATACGCCCGGGTCCGCTCTTGTGTTTCTCCACCAGGACTTGTGCTTCGGGGCGCAAGGCCAGGTCGGCGATCAAGACATTGCATCCATTCTCTGCCAGTAGTTTCGCAAAACATAGGTTGATTCCTTGAGGAGTCAGCGTGCAATGTTTCGGGATGGTGAGGGGCCTACCAGAACCAGCTCCCGTGACAATGGCGGATTTGCCTTGGACGGACTTGATGGAGAGGGGCATGCTGTGAGAGTATCGTGCACGCAAAGGACAGCGAGGACCCCACGCTCTTTTATGCAGTCTGTGGACCTTGTGGAACTGTCACTACAGCGCTTATTGTAGCCATTTCCAGACCTTGCGGGGTACGGAGATGGGAGGCAAGTGAACCGAGGTGGACAAGCATCTACTTCTCACGGGATTGTACTTAGACATGTACGGAGATCTCCCGAGTTAGGTGGAAAAATTAAACATTACCTAGACATTGATCAATGGTGGTCTGTCGAAGTTGTAGTGCTGCAACCCATATGTCCGTGGATGTATCTGAACGTAAGATACCCCCGGTGCCAGGTGCCCCCGTGGACGGCAACTGGTAACCCCAGGAAGCGGCCCCGGGGCCCCGAAGTATAGGTTAGCTAGGTACTGCCGTAGTGGTTCTCGATCTACTATCAAAAAAAAAAAGTATCAAATCTACTGAGGTTCTTCGTTTCAATTTACTGTTCTCTACTGCACTAGTACATCGTCTCGGAGTAGAGGCCGACATGTACATGCCCAGCTAAGTACAGTGGGTCATCTCGCCTTCTTTACCATATGCGGCATGCGATACTTGTACTATACTATACAGTGAACACCGTCACGGGTGCATGCTAGGTAATATCTCGGTAGTTCCAGCAATCGGCAGATATTAGCCGGAGCATAATTCAACTTCCCGAGTTCGCCGAATCCTGGGGAAAAGAGTGCCGACGTTGATGTTGATGTCATGGAGGGTGTCGGGCCACTAACCATATGGGGTAATCCAGCCATCCGATGGCGGTACGACTTCCCCTTCTGGTTCAATTCCGCCTCCCAATGGGTTCCCCAGATCAGCCCTCCTAGTCCCAAGTATTTATATCACGGCGCTTGATCCCCGGGAATTGGTGCATCAAGTTCACATAATGTCTCTATCCAAATTTATTTCAAAATCGGCCGTCCGAGCGGCATCCACCTCGGCCCAGACGACCAAAGCCGCCGGTGATATCTCATCCGTCTTTCCTAGTTTGAGACCCGACTACAAGCCTGAGCCCCTCCCACCACGCTTCCAGGAGCTCAAGCGAGAGATCTTTGAAAAAAACAAGGATGCCTTGACGAGAAGTTGGGAACGTTTGCTCCCTAGCTTGGAGGAAGAAGTGCAACGGATCAAAGCTCTTGGCAGCGATGTATGTCATGAAACCGCGATTAATGAGAGCAGAAAGCTAACTTGTTAGATCATTCCTTCAATTGAGTATGCCGATGTGGTGTCTGGAAAAGTCTCCGAGGCGGCACTGAAAGAGATCCGCCATCGGGGTAGCGTCGTGGTGCGCAATGTGATCCCTCAAGATCAGGCCCTGGAGTACAAGCAACGAATCCGCGACTATGTGGCTGCCAACAAAGAGCGCGTGAAAGCTTTCCCCGCCGACTCCCCAGCTGTCTATGAGCTCTACTGGACCCCCTCGCAGGCAGAGGCCCGTGGCCATGACAACATGCTCAACACGCAACGCTTCATGCAGCAGTTGTGGCACTCTTCAGATCCCAATAGCAAGATCTCGACTACTCACCCTCTGACATATGGAGATCGTCTGCGAATTCGTGATCCAGGTGATTCAAAGTTCACTCTGGGTCCACACATCGACGGTGGCTCCCTCGAACGTTGGGAAGATCCAGAGTACGCCCGAGTGTACACCAAGATCCTGGAGGGCAACTGGGAGCAGTACGATGCGTGGGATGCCCGACACCGTCTAACCGCCAACATGGATCTGTACAACGGCGCCGGAGCCTGCTCGATGCTGCGCTTTTTCCAGGCTTGGCTCTCCATGTCCCACACCAAGCCCGGCGAGGGCTCTCTGCACGTTTGCCCCATGATCAACCACAGCACGGCATACACTATCCTGCGACCCTTCTTTGAGACCGAAGGATCCAAACCGATGCTAGACGCTACCTTCCCTGGATCTGTGCCTGGTGCCTGTCAAGAGTACAACCCGGTCACACACCCCCATCTCGACCTTGAGGCCACCATGGTCTCGGTGCCGGAAGTGGCACCGGGTGACTTTGTGGCGTGGCACTGTGATTCCCTGCACTCCGTGGACAAGGAGCACCGCGGAAAGCATGACTCTAGTGTGCTGTATATCCCGGCGACTCCACTGTGCGACATGAATGTCGACTACCTCCTGAAACAGCGTCAGGCTGCCCAGAGCTATTCCCCTCCCTGGGACTTCCCTGGTGCCGGAGGCCCCGGCGAGTCGGGCTTCAAGGGTGCTACTGAGTGGTCTTCGCTGAGCCCCAAGGCCCAGCGTGCCATGGGCATGGGCAACACACCTTGGGAAATTACCGATGCTATGAGTGAAGGTGAAAAAGAGGCGATTCGGTCGGCCAACAAGGCCTGTTTCGGAGTATGAGCATCGGATGAATTGGGCCACCTGTACAAAATTGCATTAGAGGGAACGGGACAAAAATTGCATCGAGATTGATATTGTCATCTTTGCTCCGTAGACGATTGTCTGATCGGTTACCGTAACAACACTAGTGATCTAGATCTCCCCTGAGATCCACGGCCATGATTGGCCCATCATATGTGATCCCCAAATTCGGGCCAGTGCTTCGCCCCATGGAGTGCAGAGTAGATCATTACATCTCCTAGTAATGAGTCGATTGGTCTACAGAGTATGGAGAGCTCCTAAGATTCCTATGACTACCCTATCTAGTATGTGTATACTCCGTATAGTGTACTATACTTCCAAGTGTGATGGCTGTGGAAAAGGGGGAAAGGGTCCAAAGATGATATCAAAGAGGGGCAACTCATGCGACGAGCAAATGGGATTTCACTACGCCCTCCTCATGGCGTGATTCGGCTCTTGACATGGACATGGCTTTGTTCCGTACTCCGTGCTGGAGCTGAAAAGCGACCCCACCGGGCAACCGCTAGCGAACGAGTGGTCACTAGTTCTCATCGGGCTTCTCCTTAGTGATTCCGATCATTGGCTGAAGCTGCTCAGTATACTGAGTCTGGAGGGGCAATCCACTCGGCTCGATCTGGGACATTCATAAATAGGGCCTCCCACCCTCTGGAGAACCATTATTTCCCTCACTCTCCCTCTCTCTGAAAGATCTTCTACATCGAAACTCATCATGTCCTACCGGAACGACTCGGATAACTATGGCAGTGGAAACCAGAGCTCCGGCTTTGGTGGAAACGACTCCTATGGAAGCTCAGGCCGCCATGGTAACAGCAACAGCTATGGCAGTAGCAACAACGATGACAGTGACAACTATGGAAGAGATTCCAAGTCGAGCTACGGTGACAGCAGCAAGAATGACAGCTACGGCGGCAACACCAATGACAGCTACGGTAGTGGCAACAAGTCCAGCAACGACAGCTATGGTAGCAGCAACAAGAACGACGACAGCTACGGCAGTGGCAACAAGTCGAACAACGACAGCTATGGTAGCAACACCAATGACAGCTATGGTAGTGGCAACAAGTCGAACAACGACAGCTATGGTAGCAGCAACAAGAACAACGACAGCTACGGCAGTGGATCTAAGTCCAGCAACAACAGCTATGGTAGCAGCAACAAGTCCGATAACGACAGCTACGGCAGCAACAAGAAGTCTAGCTACGGTAGCGACAACAACGACAGCTATGGCAGCGGATCCAAGTCCAACAACGACAGCTATGGTAGCAGCAACAAGAACAACGACAGCTACAGCAGTGGATCCAAGTCCAACAACGATAGCTACGGCAGCGGTAACAACGATAGCTACGGCAGCAACAAGTCCGACAACGACAGCTATGGTAGCAGCAACAAGAACAACGATAGCTACAGCAGTGGATCCAAGTCCAACAACGATAGCTACGGCAGCGGTAACAACGATAGCTACGGCAGCAACAAGTCCGACAACGACAGCTATGGTAGCAGCAACAAGAACAACGACAGCTACAGCAGTGGATCCAAGTCCAACAACGATAGCTACGGCAGCAACACCAACGACAGCTACGGCAGTGGATCCAAGTCCAAGAATGATAGCTACGGCAGCAGCAACAGTGACAGCTATGGCAGTGGCAACAAGTCCAGCTACAGCGGTAACAGCGATAGCTATGGAAGCAACGCTCACTCTGGCCGCGGTGGTAGCAGCAACGATGATTATGGTAGCCGATCGAGTGGTCAGGGTCGTGGTGAATCGGATCGCTATGGCAATTAGAGCGGCAGACGTCTTTACATTGGTCTGTGCAAGTTTATGGGAGACACTACCGGTTCGTGCGCCCATATTCCCACCTTAGGAGGGTATTTCAAGATACTGGAGTAACAAGACTAACATCTGATCACTTGGGTAGTTGATAGGAGACTCCCATTTCCTACCTTTGTCAAGTTCCAAGTTCGATTGTCGCAAATTGCAAGGTTGGCATTGTGTATTTCCTATATCCATGAATGGCGTGCAGACCTCGCGAGGATGAAGGCCTCAATTGTCGATCATGGATTGGCCGCACATGCATCCATATGTACTTTCCAAGGTTCCCACCTGGAATCCATGATGTATCTAGTATGCCTTTGGGGCTCTTAGATTTCAGAAATATCCATGGCTAGTTTTCCAACCATCAGTGAGACTCAGGGCTCTCACCTGGGCTGAACGATGAGCACCTTGCTCAGTACCTAGGTATTACCTAGTAGAGATGACCTCCCGATACCCATACCTACCTAGGTAGATATTTTCCGGGTTCGAGATAATATTGTCGAACCTTCCAAGGTTCCATGTCTTAGGCCGGCTCGGGAGTTAGTACCTAGGTATTCATCATGGATTGTTCTTGAATCTGCCTCGATGTCCTGGGATATATATCTTGTGCACTCTGTCAGTTAATCCCGCTATTTCAACCTGGAAGGGGTTTAATCACTTGATACCTACCTAGTTAAATACAATCTTAAACCCTAGAAGCTTCTGCCTTGATAAATAAGAGTGGAATTTGAACTGGACCTAAAGAGGTGCGATGCTTCAATACCAAATCCAGTGGCCTCCAGGGCTGGTATAATGACAGATACATTGAACATGGATACAAATGTCTCAGGATCTTAAGAATGACCGTACCATGATCTCTAAGCTGCAACTGAGAGATTAAAAAGGTGAATTCCTAGGAAGTGACTCGGCGATCAAGAGATCGTGACATCTGGGGTGAGGAACAGCTTATCACCGCCCGGGTTCCGCTAAGACTGGACGTTTAGTTCCCACCTCTCCCTCCACCCTTCAATGCTTCATTAAGTCTCATCATGCGGCTCAAGGCGCTCCTTTTCGCCGCCTGCCTATCGCCTGCGGTGGCCATTTACTCCGACGAGGTCAACCACGTTGACTTCCACCACGCTCTCCTCGGTACCCCCTCGCCCGATTCGACCTTCTTCCTTAAGCCATCCACAGCTTCAAATGCCTCGCTTCTCTATACCCTGTCAGACAAGCTGCTAGTTGGGGCAGTGAACCCCCGCGATGGTGCGTTGGTATGGCGCCAGAATCTCTCGCGGTCGGCCGACTCGCCAACCCGCGGGGCGGGTCTCTTGCGCGGATTGGATGGCAACGATGCCCTGGTCGGCGCGGCCGGTAACTATATCTCGTCATGGAGTGCCCAAGATGGTAAGTTGGGCTGGGAAAAGCGCCTCACCGAGGGCGTGGTCGCAGACATTGAGCTCTTGGAGCTTGAGGATGCTACCGCGACCTCCGGCATCCGAGATGCGATCGCAGTCGTCGGCAGCGATGGCGTCGGAATCGTCAGACGCTTAGACGGTGCCACGGGCAAGACTATCTGGGAACACAAGGATACTAGGTAAGATGGGCACTTGGATGTGCTGTTGAGCCTAAGCTAATGGGGGGTTCGCAGTGGTGATGTTCCTTTCCAGGTGTCATCTTCCTCTACAGAGGTCTTCTACATTTCACTCCAATCGGCTATGCTGAAAGGCTACAAGATCAAGGTGACTGCGTTAGACCCGGTGACTGGCCAACAAACTCGTCAGCAAGTCTTGAATTCCGACACCGACGTGACCACCCCCGAGTCTGTCCTTTATGTCGGCGCCAACTCCGCCTCACCTCTCATCGCGTGGACAGATAAATCCCAAAAAGTGCTGAAGATCAATGTGATCGGTACCAAGGAGATTACCTCGATTGCCATTGACAATACCTTCGGCTCGGACATTCGGCAAATCACCGTCCATGCGCCGAATAAGCTCAATTCGCTACCTCATTTCCTGGTCCATTTTGTTACTGAGACCGGCTCCTGGGCTGAGGTCTACCATGTCGACTTGAGATCCTCTAAGGTAACCAACGCCTATCGGTTGCCCTATCTGCAGGGCCAGTCGGTAGTTGCGACCAGCGTCATTGACGCCAATGTCTACTTCACCCGAATCACCGAAGCGGAAGCTATAGTTGTTTCCTCCGCATCCCATGGAGTTTTGGCCCGCTGGGATCTGCAAACGCCTTCTTCCGAGGTTGCCCTACACTCGGTGTCCGAGGTGGTCACCAAAGGGAAGTCCCTGGCCGTGAGATCGGCTCTGTTCCGAAAGCATGGAGACTGGCAACTTGTCCGAAATGGTCAAGTTGAGTGGACTCGTTATGAAGGCCTGGTCGATGCTGTTGCAGCCACCTGGGCGGAAACCGACATCCAGGAAGATCTGGTCCATGAGTTGGAGGTTGAAGGGCACGAGACTCTGTACGGCGCTTACCTTCATCGAGTGAAGCGTCATGTCCGGGACTTGCAGCACTTGCCTGACTGGCTGAAGGATTTACCCACACGTATTTTGAGCAGCGTTCTGACCGATGAGGTTTCCAATTTGGACAGCTTTGGAGTTGCTAAGCCAGTCGTAATTGCGACCAAGAACGGTCGTGTCCACGCCTTGGACACCGGTACGCATGGCGCTGTGTCTTGGAGTGTCCAAGTCGCGGAGACCACACAGTGGGATGTCAAGGCAATCTTGAGCTCCCCTGGGGCCGTGACCATTTACCCAAGCGACGGAAGCTCCGTGACTTTGGACATCCTGACGGGAGAGATCGTTCTGCGCACTGAGCCATCTGACACCCCGCTTCACACCATAGCTGTGCTTTCGACCCAGGATAGTACCTCGTTAGTCACGGCCGGTGTCGGGGCGGATGGAGCCCCGGTCACAGCATTGACCAAAGAAGACGGCATTCTGGTAACCACCAGCGCGGATGGTCGAGTGCGTGGCTGGATTGCCGAAGACAGCAAATCTCCCGTTTGGGAATTTGTTCCTCCCTCTGGACAAAAGGTTGTCAAAGCCACCGCTCGTCCAGCGCACGACCCTGTCGCATCAATTGGCAAAGTGCTTGGCAACCGCTCTGTTTTGTACAAATACTTGAATTCCAACCTCGCTTTGATCACCGCTGTGGATGCCAAGGCCAAGACCGCGAGCTTCTACCTCCTTGACGGAGTATCCGGCATGGTTCTGCACGCCACCACACAAACAGGTGTCGACTCCACTCAGCCTATTGCCTCTGTCGTATCTGAGAACTGGCTCGCCTATTCATTCTGGGGCGACGTTACCGCTGATGAGTCTTCTGCCAAGGGCTACCAGTTGGTGGTCTCGGAGCTTTACGAATCTCCCTTGCCCAATGACCGAGGCGCCTTGGACTCTGCTAGCAACTACTCGAGCATTGAATCACTTCCATTGCCTCATGTCATCTCCCAGGCGTTCATGATTCCCGAGCCCATCTCTCACATGGCCGTTACTCAAACCCGCCAAGGAATCACCACTCGTCAACTCCTCTGCACGCTTCCATCCTCCAACTCCATTGTCGGTATCCCCCGCCCCGTTCTTGACCCTCGCCGCCCCGTTGATCGGGACCCCACCGCCGCCGAAGTTGAAGAAGGCCTGTTCCGTTACGCGCCTTTCCTCGAGTTTGATGGTAAATGGTACCTCTCGCACGCTCGCGACGTCGCTGGCATCAGGGAGGTACTGTCCAGCCCCACTTTGTTGGAAAGTACCAGCCTGGTTCTCGCCTATGGTAGTGATATCTACGGTACTCGGGCTACTCCCAGTCAAGCATTTGACGTTCTCGGCAAGAGCTTCTCCAAGCTCCAGCTCGTGCTGACGGTGGTGGCACTTGGGGCAGGCGTCACCGTTTTGGCTCCCATGGTATGTTTCACTCTCTTCGAATTCCCTTCGGTAATATCTGCGTTTACTAATGCCATTCTGTCATTTAGACTCGGAGAAAACAAGTCAATGCCCTGTGGAAGGCTTAGATCACAATGGAAATGCGATGGGAAAGAATGGGTACCCCCTGACATATATCACAAGCGTAACCAGGGGAACCAGGAAATGTGTATCATAGAAGTTAATGCGATAGCAGATATACCTCTGAAAGGTGAAACAATTGCGACTGTTCTCATACTTTCTGTAGTTCATGTAGTGTCAGACCCGGGATCGAAGATATCTGTGGACCAAGAATGTGATGATGAATGCCAGGGTAATGCCTCTAGAGCATATACCTGCTTCATCACATATATTGCACTCTACTGCCAGCTTCCAAATCACTTCCATTGAGGCTGGGCAGTGTGTTCAGTCGACAATCCGCAACACGCAGAGAGTCCGGCATTATGAAGGCGGTGTGACCGCTCCCCAACCCTCCCATAACAAGACACATGAAGGTACCTTCATCTTCCCCATACTTTGCTCAGATCATTGGCTTTTGCTTTTCTTCCGCGGACTTTGCTCCTGAGGACCTCCTCAACCACAATTACATATTGTGGGCAACGTGGCTGTTGTAGAGGTGTAGGGATCTCAGCTCGATTCCTGCGGATACGAATTACCGGGGTCAGGAGAAACCAAAGCTCCAGGCCGTCTCGAGCTTCACATCTGACATCCACCCTTTGCTCACCCTGAGGGTCTGGACTACTTGTTGAAGTTCATGTCGTGGCAATCTCCGTCTGCCATGGCTGGGATCGCAGGAATGTCCGCTATGGATGGCTCAAACGGCCCACAGGGTACGGAATACACGCTACAGGGTAAGTGAGCCTATCGCCCCATACCAGGACGGTCACTCATTCCGGATATGATGTAGGTGTGATGCGATTTCTGCAAACAGAATGGCATCGTCACGAACGCGACCGCAACGCCTGGGAGATTGAACGTGCCGAGATGAAATCCCGCATTGGCCGATTGGAAGGGGACCTGCGCACCAGCAAGCGGCTACACGAGTCTCTCGGGAAGCATGTGAGGCTGATGGAGACCGCGCTCAAGCGCGAAAGGGAGAAGGTCAAGAAGCTATCCAACAACGAGTCCCTTGAGGATATCAAGGACCCCAAGGAGGCTGCGCGTGACAGCGTCAATTTCCTCAAGTGTTTGTGGCCTTCAATTGTCTCTGATACCACGGCCTGCATTTACTGATCATCCTCACCTCCAGCGCAACGCCCTAGACTCGCCACGGACGATGAAAATGACCTGGACCCCGACAGTGAAAGTCAGCAGGATGGTCAACTCGACGACGGCCGAGACAAAGTTCGGGGTTTCTTGACGAAAGCCTCTCACGAAATCTCGTACCATGTAATACCTACCTCCCACCCTCCGCCCGACCTCAACGACTCCGAACTCGCGGGTCACTTATATGGCAATTCGCAACTCTCCCAGCAGAACCTAGAGGAGGCTTATCTCCAACAGCAACGACAGAAAGCAAACCAAGTTATGGCGCGTGAGATGGTCCTCCAAAACCACCAACCTGTGGCCAATCACTACTCCGAAAACGCTATGGCCCGGGGCCAAAATCAGTACGCTACACGGGAAACTATGGATCGACGTGCACTTGAATCACAGCAGGCACCCGTTGGCTCAATCGGAAACCGAGCCCACGTGTATGAACAGGGCTTAGTTGACGAGCAACAAAACCAAGCATACGAGGGACAGGGACCTCAGGTGATCGCCAAGGAAGATGTCAACTCGCAGGCATTGCCCGAGAAGACCGAAGACGTGGATGGGTGGAATTTTGACGAGCCAGTGGAGCAGCCACCACTTGTCGAGTCTGTCCCGCCCCATCGTCCAGACACTGATGCTTTCCCAAACGCCAATTTTGTGCGTGCTGAATCGTCGGGCAAGGTGACATCGCTCCCGCATCGAAGAAAGAGCTCCGGCTCAAGACGCAAGAGTGAAGGTGCAGCTGACACTCGCGAGGGAGGCGCGGCCTTGAGCCAACAGCCCGACACCAACTTCAAAGTCCGGTTTGCGTTGCGCGGGCATCTGGACGTGATTCGATCCGTTATCTTTACCGGCGGCGGAAGCCCATCAGAACCCGAAATTTGCACATGTAGTGATGACGGGACCATCAAGCGGTGGATTATTCCAGCAACCTATGGTGGCTTCGGACCGCATGGCCCGGGTTCCAGCAATGATCTGGACATCACCAGTTACTTTACCCACCGTGGACACGAAGGTGCTGTCACCTCGTTGGCTGCCTGTTCACCATCTCAGAACATTTCCAATGGTGGACGTGTCCTGGGCGATGGGTGGGTGTTCTCAGGTGGCCAGGATGCCAGCGTGCGCGTATGGGAGCGTGGCCGGGTTGATCCCAAGGCCACCTTGGACGGACACACAGATGCAGTTTGGGGATTATGTGTCCTTCCAGGAACAGTGGGATCGGTCTTCGGCGATTCCAGTAGCCAGAACGGTGGACCGGATCGCATTCTTCTGGCCTCTGGCGCCGCAGATGGGCGCATCCTGATCTGGGCTGTGAGCGCTCCGCCTCAGATCTCAGCACCCCCGGGTGGCTCGCGCCGTCAAGGTGGAAGCCGACGGGCAAATTCAATTTCATCTGGGTCCAACTTCCCATCTTCACCGCAGCCCAGTGTGGCTACCACTACGCCTTTCAACTACACTCTTATCCATCACATTATTCGCTCTGAGTCACCTTCGCCGACCTGTATCAGTCCGCTGTCGCTGGCGGGCGTCAACTTTGTTGTTTCTTATTCCGACGCCTCAATTCTTGTATACGACACACGAACGGGTGAAGAAATCGCGGGCATGGCCAGTCTGGAGACATATGATGGCACACCATCTACTGGTGTGAACTCCGTCGTCGCCACCACCATTGGTTTTGATGGTGCCGCCAATCTGGACCCCAATCGTGCAACCACCGAGGAGGAAGTGGTCCACGGAGCCACCGGATCGAGCAGCGTGGAGGGCGTCATCATCAGTGGCTACGAGGATCGGTACATTCGCTTCTTCGATGCCAACAGTGGTATGTGCCACCATCATCTTAATCCATCTTCATTTACTAATTTTGATGCAGGCCAATGTACTTACACAATGCTCGCTCATCCCGCCGCGATTGCCTCCTTGTCATTGTCTCCAGACGGACGTGAGCTTGTTTCGGCAGGTCATGATGCAAGCTTGCGGTTCTGGGACCTGGAGAAACGTACCTGCAACCAGGAGTTGACAAGTCATCGTCTGATGCGCGGCGAAGGAGTCTGCGCTGTTGTGTGGAGCCGTGATGGCCGCTGGGTCGTCGCCGGCGGTGGAGACGGCGTTGTCAAGGTCTTCTCCCGATGATTGAACGACGAGATGGAACTCATGTATGATTCTTTTTGTGTTATACCTGTGTATGTGTGTTTTTCGCGTCTCTTTCCCCGTGTACGATCCCATGAAGCGGATGAGCGATTGATCGGGTCAGTTCCTTCGAGCATTTTCAACGGTGTTCTCTCAGCTGCCTGGCATTTTATACTCATCTTACGTGATTTTGCTGTGTCTTCTCTTCAAAATGTGTACTTTTTGCCCCTTTACACTTCTCCGACAACATGCCGTCCGAGAAAGATTCCCCGGCGTGCGTGCGTGTTTGGTTCAACTGTTTCGATACATGTTCAATCAAGTCTTGGACTGGAACATATCATGCCTGATGTTCTCATTAGCTCCTGCGAGGGCAGGTCATCTTGCTCCCAGGCAGCAATGTCCTTGTTCATATGTTAATGAATTCTGTAGTCTTCCTGGGCGCGGATGCTTTCTTGTTACGCATATCTGTTCATGATGTCAGGATGCACCTGTGCTTTTCGCTTCACACTTAATCCTAGATAGATAGTACCCCCCAAAGGTGGAGCAATGTTCCAGATTACCTGTACGAAATCAGAGAAACAGAAGATCGAGATTATTCCACAATGATATTAATTTAAGTTTGCTCTCGTCTGGCTGCTCTAGTTTGCAGACTTCCACGCATCTTTGAATAGCGACCTCAGATGCTGTGCTTCACCCTCATCCTTCAGACGCTGTTCCAGGTAACCCTGCAAGTCATCCCAGAAAGCCTCCGTCTGCAGTACCTCCTCGCCACTGGGCCCCACGGCAGGCTTGGGCGGAGATTCATTACGCTTCTCTGGGACTTCTGGCTGCGTCACGGAAGCTTCAACTGCCTGAGCACCGCCCATGACCATAATACCGATCTCAACTTCTTTGCCCCCAGCCAGGATTGCGGGTTCGTCTACTAGCAATTCGGCAAGTGTCTTTCCAGTTCCAGATACCGGCTTTCGCTTATAAAGGATCTTGATCTTTTCCAGAGGAACTTGGCCGCCTTGTGTATCGGTGATGCGACCTCGCACGGCATCACGAATATCTTGGACGGAGGTAGTCGACAATGGGGCGTTGGGGATAGAGAAATCCAAGATCGGGTTTCGGGCCGACTTGACACGGACAGTGATTGATTTGGAGGAGCCCGGTGCGTGTGTCGACTTCACCTTCTTGGGCATGGAAGGATGCGGGGCTGAGAGGCGGGGAAGAGTGTACTATAACATGGGAACAAAGGTCAGTGTCTGAAAGAATTGATAGTAGCTTATGTCGGCGGGGTTCTCTCGAACGCACAGGAACTCGCAGTCCAACCTGTTCGGGGTCGAAGACATGGTCAGCGCGAAGCTTGATCGGTCGTGAGTCTAGCGCAGACAAGAATGATTTGGCAAAAGTCAATTCGGACATGACGAGACAAAGGCGTAGAGGAACGCCGATAAATGGCCAGAGGAAATAGAAGAGGAGGAAGGCGACGAAAGTTGCGGTTGGAGACGTAAATGAGATGCTTGGTACTCCGGAGATGCGGGTGTTGATATCAGAATTGACACCTGAGAGAACGGGCAGCAATATCGTGGTACACCGCCCTCCAGATGTGTTTACTGCCATCAACCACCGCCCGAAAAGAAAAAAAAAAAAGACGGGAAGAAATCGCAGCTCTCGAGCAAACACCCCGAACGTCTCCATATCGAATTTTCTTCACAATGGGTACCGGCCGCCGTATGGGAACGAAGCAGGGAGTCCCTGCACCCCTCGATGAATCGAAAATCTCCTCATTGAAGAAGCGCAAGGCTGGCGGCGCCGATGCCCCCAAGGCCGCTCCCAAGCGCCGCAGATCGGATGCCGACGAGGCTGCCTCGAAGAAGGCTGCTCCTAAGAAGAAGGTCGCGGCCGCTCCTGCTAAGGTCGAAAAGAAGGCCTCCAAGAAGGCTGTGCCAGTGCCTATGTCTGACGACGACGAGGAAATGGAGGATGATGAGTTTGGCGATCTTGATGGAATCAGCGAAGGCTCAATGGATAGCGACGACCAAGTGGAGGGACTTTCTGACCTCGAGGATGATGACTCTGTTGTTGATTCCGACGAGGAGGGCCACGCCCGTGGCGCCATGTTCTCCGACGACGAAGACTCCGATGCCGAAGAAAGATTGACTGCCGCCAACATCGAGGGTCTGTCACGGAAATTGGATGCTGCCCAGCAAGAAGAGGAAGAGCAAGCCGAGCAGGAGTTGCAGGAGGCACAGATGCAGACCAACATCGCTGCACCCGACGTGTTTGCCGATGAAAACCAGCAGCAGGGACTTGCTCCTGACCTGCAGCTTCTCCGCCAGCGCATTACAGATACCATTCGAATCTTGGGTGACCTCAAGACACTCGGACAACCAGGAAGATCGCGCACCGACTACGTTGATCTTCTGCTCGACGACATCTGCACCTACTACGGCTACACCCGATTCCTTGCTGAGAAGTTGTTCAACCTGTTCACTCCCATGGAGGCCTTTGCCTTCTTCGAAGCTAACGAGACTCCCCGCCCCGTTGTCATCCGTACCAACACTCTGCGAACCAACCGTCGATCCCTCGCCCAAGCTCTCATCAACCGTGGTGTCGTTCTCGAGCCCGTTGGCAAATGGTCCAAGGTCGGTTTGCAGGTCTTTGAGTCTCCTGTTCCTCTGGGTGCCACCCCCGAATACCTGGCTGGTCACTACATTCTCCAGGCCGCCTCCTCGTTCCTTCCCGTTATGGCTCTCGCCCCCCAGCCCAACGAGCGTGTTCTCGATATGGCCTCCGCGCCCGGTGGTAAGACAACATACATGTCTGCTCTGATGCGCAACACTGGCTGCGTGATCGCAAACGATGCCAGTAAGCCTCGTGCCAAGGGTCTGATCGGTAACATCCACCGTCTCGGCTGCAAGAACACTATTGTGACCCACATGGATGCTCGCACTGCTTTCCCCAAGGCCATGGGTGGCTTTGACCGTGTTCTTCTCGATGCTCCTTGCACTGGTACCGGTGTCATCTCGAAGGATCCCGGTGTTAAGACCTCAAAGAACGAGCGTGATTTCCTCGCCATCCCTCACATGCAGCGCCAACTTCTTTTGGCCGCCATTGATTCTGTTGACCACGCATCCAAGACTGGAGGATACATTGTCTACTCCACCTGCAGTGTGACAGTCGAAGAGAATGAGGCCGTTGTCCAGTATGTCCTCCGCAAGCGCCCCAATGTCAAGATTGTGGATACTGGTCTTGGTGGATTTGGTAGCCCCGGTTTCCTCAGCTACATGGGCAAGACCTTTGACCCAAAGATGGCGCTCACTCGCCGCTACTTCCCTCACCGTGAGAACGTCGACGGTTTCTATGTATGCAAGCTCAAGAAGACTGCTGTGACCCCTGCGCCTAAGGCGGAAGACGCGGAATCTCGTTCCGCCGGCCGCAAGAAGTCTCGCAGCGCTAGCGCCTCAGCTGCATCCTCTGATGACGAGTCTGTTGACAAGACCCCCATTGTCGACGAGAACGGACATGCTGCCGATTTCGAAGGTGGCGCCTTTAGCGCTTTCGAGGATCCCGAGGACGCTGAGCGCATTGCCCGTGCCGAGCGCAACCGTCTGCGTCGCAAGGGTCTCAACCCAAAGGGTGTTCTCAACAAGCCTAAGAAGGCCAAGGCTGAAGCTGAGCAGAAGACCAGCAAGACCGAGGAGCCCAGTCAAGAAGAACAGACTAAGACCGTTGCCTCGAAGAAGTCTACCAATGAGCCGAAGGGCGAAAAGAAGACCGTCACGAAGGGCAAGGAAGACAAGAAGCCTGTGACCGCCGACCAAGAGGCGAAGAAGCCTGTCAAGGCCAAGGGCGAGAAGAAGGATAAGAAGTCGGCCAAGAAGGCCACGAAATGATCGAACCGAATAATCATCTCTTGTTTCATGTGTGTATATTTCTTCGGGCACTTCAAAAGCATTATGTATTAGGTCCGGGGACCGGCGTATAGGATATACCTTTTGTTCAATCAAGATCAAACTGTGTCAAACTACTAGAGACAAGACGTAGGGGACTGACTCTATACTAGGTAGTGCTCGCAGAGGCAAACTAAGATCAAATCTTAAAATATAGAAAGAATGATTGTGCTACCTACTAGCAGTAAAGAGACGATCTATAGGTCTAACGACATGCATGTATAAAAAACGATTTGAAACCTTGCAACCCTCGCATCACTCCGAATCCCAAGTCCAAGCCAGACTGCACGCTAATGAACAAATAATAAAAAAAAAAAAAACCACTGATGAGTCTGGCGATGCCCAAATCATCTAATGCAACTCCGCGTATGTGAGATCTATGCCCGATAGATCTTGATCACTTTCTTAACCTCTTTGCGGCACATTGGACACAGGCTCACGAGGTTGGCGCACGTCACACATGAACACAGATGACCACACTCGGCGAACACGGCATCCATTTCTTCAGTGTAGCAGATCTGACACAGGTCAAGCTCTGCATCCGCGACCTCCCAGTAGCTGATTCCCTTGCCGTGACGTTTGCCGTCCTTGAATCCGCCAACATACTTATTTCCCGTCGTGTTCTCGATATATGTGCCTTGTCCGTGGCAGACATCTTCGACCCAATCGCCGTCGTATGAATCGCCCGTGGGATAGACTAATTTGCCCTTCCCATGGCGTCGACCAAAGACGAAGTCACCCTCGTAGACCATGCCGGTGCCGGATATGTGGGTTCCTTTGCCGTGCTGATGACCCTTGACAAAGTCACCACTGTAGTAGTCTTGGGTGAATGTGGCTTCAATGATCTTGTGTCCGGTAAATCCGTGAATTGGATGACCGCGCGAATGGGCCCACAGATATTGGACTAGACGATCGGGACTGGTCAATGAGCCGGAAGATGCGAGCTCAGAGCGCCTGTGTTGTGTTAGACCCGAGAAACTCTCATTTCGTGATGGGGATAGCCAGATACTTACTTGTCTTTCGTGAGCTTGTCTCCAACGATGAAGCAGGCACCGTGCGGAGCCATCACATCATCAAAACTGTCGGCGGGTGACACTGTGGTGACCGTTGCACCATCAACTCGCTTCCACATTAGGAAGTCTTGTCGGATGGATCGCTTCAGGTGGCGTCGAATTGAGGCTTTGACGTTGGCATCCAGTTTGGAGAAGAACGACCCCACGGTTCTCAGAACTTGGGCGTCTGCGTCAAACATCTGGATGAAATAGTATGCGTGGGAAACGGGTAACTCAATGCCAGGCTCAACGGGACTTGGGGCCGTCGTTGTGGGAGATGCTCTAGCCTCGAGTGAGGTAACAGGAGCTGAGCTCGTGGCTTCTGTAAAAGCCACTCGCTGTCCACCCACTTCATTCTCTCCCTCAGTGACAGAATCGGCAATCTCCGGCGAGACCACAGCAAGCTGAGATGATGCGTTATCATCGTCACTTTCCAGGCTAGCGGTGCTCGGAACCGTAGTGGCTTCTCGGGGGACATTTCCAGATGAACTGGCAATGGCATCTCCTTCCACCACAGATGAAGACGCATTTTCCACGGCCTCAGGTCCATAAGATTGAACGAGGTGGTCTTCAAGTTTATCATCTAGGGCGATGACCGCAGGAGGGTCGGGGATCGCAAAGAATTGAGCGTCCTCTGCGAAGAAGATATGGTTAGCGACAATATGAATTGGACAAGGGCTCAAGATCGTACCTTCCGTGATAATTTCCATCCAGAATCGAACGATGTTCAGAGACGAATCCAATGGAACATTGAGATCCGTTGCATGGTCAAAGGTGACCGATGACCCAGTCTGGGCGAACGTGTTACCAATTTGCCAGAAGCGAATGCGCTCAGGGTTGATTGGCTCCGAGTCCGAATGCTTATGCGAAGCAATCTTTTTGCGTAGGTCAGCTAGTCGTGATGAACGGGGCAAGGTCATATGAATGACACTGTCTGCTGCTTTGGCCTGAGCCATAAGATCATATGAATCAAATAGACTTGTCAGTTTGTCATATTCAGGCAGCGAATAGACTTCGATCTGAACATCATCTGTAGGCTGTTCGCTTGTATGGTAGACACCCGTTTCATAATATTGCTTCATGGATTCAGAGATTTCCCAGGGTTCCTGCGAACCGGGTAACAGCTCGGATACCATGTCACCGCGAACATACATCGCCATAACGGGTATGTCATGTCCCTTCTTGTGGTCAACAGTCTGGGAAGGGTCAAGGCCCAGGTGCGGGCCCATCGCGGTCTTCTGAGTCAGACACTCAACGCGATTGTCACTACCATCATCAAAAGCGAGCCATGTGGTGCCCGGACCGGCCGGGCGGAGGATGCTGAAGAATTTGCCGGAAGTACGGCGGCCACGGTGTACGATATATCCATACAGAACATACTTGCTCCCTTGGCCATCGACCACCCAAGGAGCGAGATCCAACTCCTCGTCCAGTTGAACCTTGTCATAACGTAGCTGCCAGCGCTTGGCCTTGTCCAATGTATGGCGGCCAATTTCAACATGCAAGACCGGTGGAAGTGACCAACGGCCGGGCTTGGTATCCAAGTAGCTGCTTACCGCTTCCGAGACGGATTTGGTTTGGTCGATTCGCATGTACAGGCGCGAGTTGAAGTCCGTAGGCAACCTGTTCACAATTTCACCATTGGATGCAAGGGAGTCCCCGGTTGGACTGTCGAATAGTTCGGCAAACTTCGTGCCGGCTTCCGTTCCCTCCAGCTCGAGTTCTAGAGTGCGTCGTAGGCGTTCCCAAAACTCGGATACATCGTTTGAGAATTCGTGTAGATTGCGCAAGGTTGTTGTCACTGCGTCGGTATCTACATAGCTTGGGGAATGCGTCTGTCGGCGAAGTTGCCACAAAAGCCTCTGCAGAGCATCACACAAAGGTTTGGGCTTTGCCTGGAAATTGCTGAGGTGCTCAAGCACATCAATGCCTTTGATGATGTCGCAAAAAGGAGCAATGTGCAACCACGAGGCAAGGCCAGCCACCTCTGGACTGTGATTGATGATTGAGTCGCCCAAAGGCCGGTACCCAGTCAATGCCATACTGTCCCAAGTAGGCTCGGAATCGCTTGGGTGCCACCATAACGATTTAGTAGGGTCATTGACCACTCGGATGTAGGCATCAAAGGAGAGCGTGTCGTCACTCAGGAGAGCACGGTGCTGACCTCGGCGACGGGTGTGAATCTGATCCCATGGACCGTGGAAGTAAGTCCACCCCCAATCCAAGTTATGGGGGTTGAACTGATGACACGATGATTGCATCCATCCGGTACGTGGCTCTTGTGGGTTGTATACGATCACACCCACCTGGGCGGGCACGCGCCACGGAGCGGATGCCTGCGTATCGGCTGCGGGCGAAGCGTTCCTGGCCGCCTCATATTGAGACTTGTAGCCCTCCAGCCACGCTTCTGTATCTTGTGTGGCGGCGGTCTTCGACTCCACCTCCGGGGCGTGATCGTCAAGGGAGATATCCGGTCCACCCCGGCGAACGGTGAACTCCATTTGGGGAAGGTCATCGTCCGGTGGAGGCATGGTCGTAGAACACTCGAGATAGACACTCAGTGCATTGACATTGTTCCCCCGGGGGTAGAACTTGATGCGCCACCAATAGCCTCCGACGAATGCTGCAGGAGACCGAATCACTTTGTGCCGATTTGGGTTCGCCGGAGTACCTCGCACTCCCTTCAAGGTCCACGTGAGCCGTGCCTTTTCGGTGGGTACATACTCGGGATCGCCCAAGTCCCGGAAGAAGTTGGTTTCCCAGTACTTGTCTATGCTCATCAGTCAGTGTGCGGGTCCTCCTGATACATTGGACATGTTCGAAACATACGGTCTGAGGCGCTATAGTCCGAGTCTCCGCCGTCGATCTCTTTCATCTCATCTTCATCTGGAGTGGTTGTGTCCTCCTCGTACTCGGCCCAGTACGCATGCTCTGTCTCTTCGGGCAGAGTGCTAGGCCGAGAGGGATTGGACACTGGCTCGGGTTGACCCGAGAGACCTGTGGGCGTATCCATGACCAATTGACAGAGTCCCAATACCCTGGTATAGGGGACACCAAAATTGCCAACAATATATAGACCGAGAAGTCCTCTGACTGCAAGGGCGATGTTGTACCCCGACTTGTTGATAAGGGCTTATCAGATAAGGCGGAGGAATTGCGTGGAGAGGGCAAAGAGAACGAGGAATGAGGAACGAGGGACAAGGGACGAGGACGAGGAAACGAAAGAAGAAAAGAGAGCAAAGCAAGGGCAAAAGCAAGAAGAAAAGAGAAAAGAGAAGAGAAAAGAGAAAAGGGAGATAAGCCAAAAACGAGAGTCCGGGGTGCCGAGTGCCCGGGTGGGTCTGGAGCCTTACTTTGCATTCTCAACACTCTCTTACTGTACATACTCACTCCGTACAGTATGTACAGCGAGACAGGTCAAGTCATTGATTGTGATACATTTCATTATTCATAACATTGTCTCCCTACTCCCTACATGGTGTAGTAGAGGATGTGTACTGTACACTGTTGCGGTGTGCCGATCATCGGCTATCCCCACTCAGGGGAGTCAACCTTAATTTGCCAATGGAATCGCCTTCTTTTTTTTTTTTTCCAGTGGCGACTCGACTCGGTTTCTCCCTTCGCCACCACACACCCATTGGCCCATCATTATGGGGTCTCATGCCAGACCGTTCAGGGCAACGCGGCCAATTGGCCAAATCGGGGCCGACGGAGGCATCTGGGCACCGTGATTGGCTGGAAGCAAATCGCACTGTTGACGGGATCCTGCATCGCTTGGCGTTGGTACAGATCCCAATGGGCGCGTTCAGTTCTGCGACTGTCGGGCGAATGAAGCGGCAACAATCATGGGGAATACAGCGGTGGCTTCGGCGTAGACCTAAGAAACACGAATATGAGTCTGGGATTCTTTTTTTTTTGGAGAGAGGAGGAGGGGAATCAAGTCACTTACCTTGACCGATTTGGCGTCTGCTTTGATTTTTCCCCAGCTCACCGCTTCATCTGGCCGAGCACCGGCATCGCTACCGTCAAACTCCTGTGCAGTGTTCACGTAGACTGCGTGCTCGGCTCCATTTCGCATGAGGCATGCGTTGGCAATATGGTGCTTGACAACACCGCCACCCAAAATGATCATGCCGGCCCGGGTAGCTCGCACCGCCATGGTGTTAATCCGGCGCACATCATCGACAATGTCAACCCGAAGTCGCTGGGGGGAAGACTTGAAGGTGTGGAAGTAAAGCATATCACCCAGGGAGCCATCGGTTAGCGCAGGACAGAAGACGGGGATTCCATTCCGGGCCGCCCAGTATAGAACCGAGTCCTCGTGGTTGATCTCACGACCCAGGCGCTCGGTGATGCGGCTGGGGGTCCAGTGCAGCTCGTCTTCCTCATCCCCGGTCTCCCGAGCCTTCTGTTTCGCGGCCTCCTGTTCCTCCAGCATCTTGTCCAAAATGGGGACCACCCAATCTTCAAAGGCACAGTAATTGTTGTTAGGCACGATGAGATTGCCAATGCGGTTGAGACCCTTGCTGCGGAGACCGGCTCCGGGGGTCGCAAACGACCCCAGATAGGTCGGGGCCAAACATTTGATCAGATCCTCCTCCACGCCACCGGCAGTCGTCACAATGGCCGACACGTGGTTGTGTTTGACCAAATAGCGCAGGGTGTCTCGCAGGCCGGAGGAAATGAGGTTGGAGGTAAACCCAAGGAAGATAGTAGTCTTGCTACCGGTTTCCGGGTCGCGAAACGCGCGCTATACACCCAGAGGTTAGCTGGAGTGATGGAGAGAGAAGCGGGCATTTACCATTTCATTGATGATGCTCGCCGCCTCGGCGACCGCGGAGCCCTGAAATCCAGTGTGGGCTAAGTTGTCCACCATTTCCGCCACTGTAATATCCCGACCTTGAAATCGGTCAAAATCCACACCGCTCACGATGTGCGACCCTTCCGGGACCGGTTGCGAGCTTTGCAGCACGGAGTCGGCCACGGCGGAGGGGACGGCGGAATGGTTCATTTTGGTGGGAGGGATTGAGGAAATGTTGAAACGAATGAAATGCACGAAGCGTTACCAATGACAAGGTAATCACAGGCAGCTAGGACATGAATAGAGAATGAGGTATCTGACAGATTTGAGTTGCGATCATAGAGGGGCAGCTGTTGATCTTTTTTTTTCGGCGGGGAAGAGATCGACACCTGAGGCAGTCATGGCCTCAGGCAGCATCGGACCCGTTGGACCTCGGGAGAATACGAAGAGTACAGAGTACGGAGTACGGAGTACTGCTTGGACAAATTCCCGACTCCTATAGGTGGTGCCTTGAATGGAGTCATAGAAATCCCAGCTGTATTACAGTACTGACCATGCATTTAGTCTCCTGTCCAGATACCAAATATACCCCAGCTATAGCGAGTGCTATACTGTGCAGGTATCAAAGTGCCAAAAGTGCCATCAGATAGAGTTGCCTTGAATCCACGCTAGTGGTGAAAAAGGACTAGTGTCACACCCCTTGAACTTCACTCTCGCAACTCTCTGTTTTCCACCTTCTCGGCTCTGCTTTCGGCATCTCTGGACTCGGGCGCAAGGAGCTTGCATGATTTCTCCGATTCGTGCCCTCCACAGCTACCTTATTCATCCCGTTCCTCATCCGCCTTCCAATCATTCCCATCTTCATCGGTCCTAGCAGAGGCAACTTGGCTAGGCACGAACGGATCTTTTTCTCCATGCGCTTTGCCCGATCGGGCTACTTGAAACTTACGTAAGGTGGCCCGTGCTGTCTCCCTCGTTCTGCTCCAGATGCTCCGTGCTCGGGGATCCTGCATTCCTCTTTACTCCCATCACACGTCTTGCACATGGAGCGCTCACCTGTCAATAGCTTCGTAGCATGACGCGATAATGTCTCGATTTCCTCCATCGTCCGGGTTCAATTCCCGTGACCGCTCTCCACAACGATTTGGAGACCGACGTCCCCCAGCTGGTCCCCGTGGGCCCGACGACGGCCCTGCGCCATTTGGCAGAGATCCCCCGCGTGGTCCGCGAGCTTTGGTGGACTCTCCTCGGGGAGGTCACTTTGGCGGCGGCCGTGGCAGGGGATATGGCCGTGGCGATTTCCGTGATCGAGATCGAGACCGCGACCGTGACTTTCGAGATAATCGAGATGGCCCGCCATTTCGCCGAGACCTAGATCGCGACTGGCCCCGTCGAGGGCATGACCGCGATCGCGACTTCGACCCACGGGATAACCGAATAGGCTTTGGCCGAGGCCGTTCCCGATCCCCCACGCGCGACTTCCGAGATATCAGAGAACCCCCAGGCCGTGATTTTGATCTCGTTCGGATGCGACGCAATTCCAGAGATAGCATTTTGTCAGCGTCATCAGGAGGCCCAGATGGCCCACCGCCCAACATGGGTCACATGCCGAGAGGGGGCATGCGAGGACGAGGACGCGGAGATTGGGAAGGAGGCCGTGGCAGAGGTGGACGACCCTTCCTCGATGATCGTGATCTATTCCGTCGACGTAGTCGCTCCCGGGAACCATGGCGTGGTAGAGACAGAATGATGGACCGCGATCGAGAAAGGGACATGGACCGGGACAGGGTGCTAGATCGCGAGCGAATGATGGATCGAGATCGGGATCGCGACCTTCTGCGCCCAAGAGAGCGAGAACGGGATCTTTTGGATCGTGACTTGGACCGCCGAGACCGTTTTGACCGTCGTGAAGATTGGGACAACAATCGTCGACCTGATCGCGAAGATCGTGACCGCCCCGCCGATTTCTGGAAACGAGATCGTCCCCCAAGCCGGGCAGACAGCCGTGCCGCCAGCGGTTCAACGACCTCTTCGCATCCTCCGATTGAACATCAACCCGTGGACCAAATTCGGAAACCATCGATCATTCCAGGTGCTCCTGCCCCCGACTCTGGACGCGAAGCCGAGCGAAACGACCACGCTGCGCCTCGACCAGAGCCAGTGAGGTCAAATCCCATTCGACCAAACCCCGCTCGGCCGGACACCTCCAGACCCGATTCATTTCAACCTGACATTCCTCGCCATGAATCTACTCGAACTGGCCCCGCTCGAGCTGAGCCTTCTCGACCCGAAGCTGCTCGACTCGAACCCGCGCGGCCCGCAGCTACTAGAGCCGAACCTGCGCGACCCGAAGCTACTCGGTCCGAGTCTGCCCAGCATGATCCCGGTCGACCTGACCCTGTTCGACCAGAGCCCATGAAAGAATCGGGGCCAATGGCTCGACGTTCCCCGCCTCCAGCTGCTCCTCAAGTACCCGCCTTTGGCTCAGTGGCTGCTCCAATAAACACGCAACCCTCAAGCAATGACTCCGTCGAGCGCAGGCCCTCAAAGGTCGCCCAACCCTTCGAGAAAGATGGCCGCAATACGACCCAACGGCCGCCGGTTCAGCCTCCTACCGGCCCAAAGGCTGACCGAGCCGACACGACACACTTCTTTGACCCTCGCACTCGTCATGAAGGTCTCCGAGAGGCCGGTAATCAGCACCCTTTGCCTCCTCGTAGCACCAAGACATCTACCAATCTTCCTGATGTATCACCGCCAACCGCCCCGGCCGCGATGACCAGACCAGATTCGGCTTTCGCAGTCAATGATCAATTTTCAACAGGTAGATCGAACTCACTCACATCCTCTCCAACCTTCACCCGAGTTCCACCACCAGCCCCCCGAATTCCGTCTCGCGAGCCTTCCATGTCACCCCGAATGCAATCATCTGGCATCCCGACTGGTCCTCGAGCATTGCAGTGGCCAGCATCAGCATCATCCCCTCCAAGTCGAAAAGGCAGCAAGCAATGGGTGCGCCCGGGCTATGGTCGAACCCCTTCCGTCCCCAATACGCAGTCAAAGCAAGAGCCTCATGATGATGGGGAGACAGCGATTTCCTTTACAAATGAAGCTGGGCGACCAGTCATTCGAGCTCCATCTCCATTTGACATGGATGAGCCCGAGAGTGGTGAAATTTTACCCCATGAGCCTACGAAGGAGCCGTCCCCAGTCTCTCCTATGGATCTTCCTAACAGGCGCAGTCCCCCAGCCGCTGATGATTCTAAGGAAGCCAAACAGCCTGCAGAAAAGGCGAATGATGAGGAACCTGCCATGATTCCCGATTTCGAGCGCTCTAGTGACGAAGATGACGGGGAGAATATCGTTTTCACGAAGGAGTATCTGGATGAAAGAAGACAGCTCTTCGAAAAAGAAATGGAATCTCTCCGAGCTGAACTGCCACCATCTCCTTTGGAAGACCCCACTATTGTGGCTCTTTTGATGAAGATACAGCTGCTTGGCATTGTGGCCAACCAAGATGTTGTTGAACAACCCAGTGAAGACCTCGCAGTACCAACGCCTGAACTGCCGACTGAGCATCCAAAAGAGCCACCGCGGGAATCTTCACTTGAACGTCCCGCCCAGCCGGCGCCGGAGCCCAAAGCAGACCCTATGCTTTCAGCAGGGGCGGAAGACTCTAAGGACCAAACCAACACCGAGCGTGCAGTTTCATTTGTTGCAGCTCCACTTGAACGCGAGCGAGAATCCCCCGAAAAAACAATTCTACCTCCTGTGGTTTCTCGAGACGAGGTCACCGTCAGCAATTTGCCTTTCTTGCAGTCAGGCCCTCCAACGCCCATTTCGGACATGGATGTGTATCAGGAGAACATCTTGATCCAGGACCGTCTGAGAGACACATTGACTACTGAGCTTTCAAAGGAACAAGATGCACGCTTCAAGAAAAACGAACTGCTTCGCGACGAATACCTGTCTTACTACAAACCATGGCGATTGGCCATCTGGGAGCTCGACCGCATGAAGGATAAGCCATCTGTTACCCCTGCTGCTGTATCACCGCCTGTATCCACGGTCCCAACAACCCCAGCACCGATGCCAGAAGGCCGCGAAGGCCGTCGGTACAAAGGAAACAGCGAACTCGATTTCCTCAATGCACTGAAAGCCTCAGAGATCTCGGCCCAAGAGGAACTCGAACGCCGAAGAACTAAAATGGCGACCGCACGGCCAGACCTGGGTCGCGAAGCAATTATCCCCAATATGCTCGAACCCAAAGAAGAAAAGGCCAGCGTATACAAGGATGTGAACAACATCATCGAGTGCAACCGCGCTCTAGATGTGTTTGGCTTCCTTCCGCCCCCGAACGACTTCACGCCCGAGGAACACACAGTTTTCACAGATGCATTCATGGCTCACCCAAAAAGATGGGGCAAGATTGCCGAATCTTTACCTGGTCGAACTTTCCAACAATGCATTGTGCATTATTATTTGACCAAGGAAGAGATCAAATACAAGGCGAAACTCAACAAACGCTGGAGTAAGCGAAGCAAAACAAGCCGCAAAGGTGCACGCCCCAAGTCTAATGCCCTTATTGCGGACCTGGGCGTTGTCAAACCTGACTTCGATGGCGCGGAGGACACCCCTGCTGTCACTGATACTGGTCGTCCGCGACGTGCTGCAGCACCCACATTCGGCGATAATGCAGAGCCAGAAAGCAATGTGCCCATGGGCCGTCGTGGCCAGTCAGTCCGGGACGGTGAACCGGTTGAACGTCCGCCTGCTCGACGAGGTGGGCGTGGTGGAGGTGGACGCGGTGGGCGGCGCATGAAAGCGTCTCAGCCCGATACAAAGACCCAGGCCCTTATGCCACAGTCCAATACGCCTTCAGTAACACCGACGCCTGTCGCCCTTGGATCTGAGATGGAAATGACGCCGGATACCATCATGGAAGGATACGAAGCTCGTGAGCGCCAGCGCGAGCGCACAGAAATGGAAACTCTGCAACCAGTTCCACGGGGCAGAATCGGACGTGCACGAGCGAAAGATGGTGTATACGTGTTCGAATCCAGTGAAATCGAACAGAACCCCATTAACAAACAGCCTGAGACTGGATATGGATCTTTTCAGCCAACAAGTTATTGGTCTGTCCCCGAACAGCGCGACTTCCCGGCGCTGCTGGGCCATTTCGGTCGCGATTTTGAGGGCATCTCTGGTTGGATGAAAACGAAGACAACGGTGATGGTATGTACTGGAATTTGTGTAGTTGCCCTCGTAATCTTCATTATGTCCTTTCTTTAATGCTCCCCTTTGGTCCCATCTTCGTCTTTTGGTCTCATCCTCCTTCATCTTTTGCTAACCAATGCCCTTCTTTTGTCAGGTCAAAAACTTCTTCCAGCGCCGTCTAGACTCTGGTCACAATGACTTTGAGCTGATTGTCAAGGATGCCGAGGAGAAGAAAGCTCGCGGCGAATCGCCTGGGAAACTTCCGAATCCAAGTGTTGCCCCAAAGCGACGCTACGAGGCGACCCCGTCTTCTATCTCTGTCATTCCTCGTCCGCTTGCTCCCCATGGCGACAACATGATGGATATCGACGAAGCCCGCTTCCCTTCAAAAGGCAGGCCTCATGGCCAGTCGCCGCAGCCAATGTCTGTGCACATGCGACCTATGTCCGAGAAAGAGCGGAATGCCAGTCGCTACCAACCCCTTGCTCAAGCTACCGCTGCCTCGCAGGTGCCTACTGCTGCAACCCTCATTGAAGAGTCCACTCGTGCGATTCGCGCACAAGGGGGCCCATCACATCGCGTGCAAGGCCCCAGACTTGGGTATTTTACCGGGGAACGACGAGACCCTTCGAGCCTGCCAAATGCTACTACTGGTGCGCAAGACTTGTCAATGTCTTCACGTCATCCAGGCGCCATTTCATCGGATAATGCACGCATGGAACCTTTACCTGGACAGGGCTACATGGCTGCACAGCCGCCATCATCCATGTTCACGTCTCATTCCCGTCATCCGAGCTTGAACCAGGCACCCGGTTCACCGAGCCAACTCTCCAGACCTGATCTTGAGATATCGTCTGTTCACCGGGATCCGTTCCCCCAGCGATCTTACTATCCAATTTCAGGCCAAGCAATTGGAATTTCGCCATCGCCTCGCCCTGGCTTGTCACCTGTCAAAGATGTCCCGCGCCCTAGTGCCACTCCGGGCCCTGATGCAACTTCTCGCCAAGTGCCCGCGAAGCGGTCCAACATCATGAGCATCCTCAATGACGAGCCCGAAGAGCCTCAGCCTCGCAAGCGGTTCGCCAGTGAGCAAGCCCCGCCTGCCCAAGTCACGACACCCGCTGTCAACCCAAGACCAGTCTATCAAGCATCAGGACCCTCGCGCCACGAAGAGCTTGCCATGTCGGGTATATCGCAGAAACCTTCTGGGTACGCTCAACAAACTCAATACCAGCCGTCACCACGCGGCTATTCCGAATATCCCAGCTACGGACCTCCACATGGTGCCTCAAGCACTTCGGCAAATACTGATTGGATGGCACGCTTTGATCCACGGGCGCAACAGACACCTCCGCAGCCCCAAGCCCCATCACTACCACAGCAGCAACCACCATCCAGCAACCGTGCCCCTGGCTCTATGGCTTCTCAAGGCTCCTATGCGTCGTACGCGGCAACTCCAAGCCAGGCTCCAGTGCCCACAGCCAGCCTTTCTGCCCCGTCCCCGGCACCCACTCCACCACCATCGAATTCCTCTCAGCGATCCGCTTATCCCAGCGTCTTCACCCAGGCATCTGCCCAGCCGCCAGTGGCCTCAGCCTCAAGAGAGATGGCCCCGCAGCCTTCCTCCTATCGACCAGGGTCACCGGGCTCGCGTTCTAGCATGGCGTATGGATCGCGCCAAGATCCACCGACACCCGCGCAGACTTCCGCTAGTGTTTATGGTGTTCACTCACGCCAGCCTGGAACTTCCTCGTACTCGGCTGCGACCACCCCGAATCCTGTTCAGTCGCATAATTATCAACAACATGTGCAAACAATGGTCAGTGGATCGCACCAGCCACAGTCTCATCGATCAACTCCTGTCACTTTATCTGGCGGTTCTTCGCAATACGGTCATAGCACTCCTCCCCCGCAATCCCAGGCTGGGAGATCAATGGCTTCGCTGGCGAACCTTGGACGTTCATTCACGCCTCCGTCGGCTATGCATCCCTCAATCGGTGGAAATGCGATGCCGGGTTACCCTGCTCCCCCTCCACCCGCGCCAGGTTCCATCCCTTCGCTACACCAACGACCAGTTGCACCAGGGTCACTTGGTGAAAATGGCTCTACGCCAAGGCATCATCGCGTTTACAGTCATGGGTCAGCTCAAGGTCGAGTACCAGGATCGCTGCCGCCCCCTTCACAGCAACCGCGCTAGAGATCCACGATTGATTCCATTGAAGTGAATGTGGGATGCAGCAGCGTATGGAGGATGTACATTAATCGGTTGCCTTGTCTTATTCACCTCTTGTTGAGCGTATTGGCCCCATTGCCATGGACCTTCCGTTGGTCCCAGCCCATATGTATTACTAACTGAATGATTTGATGTATGATTTATTATTATCTCGTGTCAATGTAGTGTCCAGAGTATGTTGTACATGGGAATATTTACTACCTCAAGCTACCTAGTAGCACCCAAGGATCGTAACCAGGGGGATTATCTCCATGGCCGCGCATCATCGGTCCATCTGATTCATGTGGCTGGGCAAATTCCACACATTGTAGTCCAGGTGCACAAATGCACGGTCGACGGTAGGGACGCTCTCGATAATGTACTGAAGACTCTCGCCGACATCATGACTATCCCGCAGGCTCATTTTCTCGTCAACGACGAGATCTACTTCGACGTTGAGTTTGTCGCTTGCGTAGTAGGCTTTCAAGTCTTGGATCTTGAGAATGACCCGAGAGAAGCGCATGGTCATGTACAGCAAGATGCTATGGTCATCTGGGGTCGCCGCTGCGCCTGTTAACCGCCGAATGTATTCCGCGGCCGTTTCGCCCCAGTTCCACATGATATACAGGGAAAGGAACAGACCGCCCAATGGATCCAGGTACCAGAGATTCGCAAAAGTGCCAACTGAAAGTATTGCTTGTCAGATCAAAAATGTCGTGAATGATCTCGGGCCCTGGGGTAGGCGACACTTACTCAGCGGGAAAATGATGCTGAAGGTATTGAAGATGACATCGGTCATGGCATCCTGAGCAAGAACCTGAACACTCGGGCTAGGAATCAGGCGACACCAGATCCAACAAAGCAGCTTTACTAAGACAGTGCCTCCCATCAAGACGAGAGATGGGAGGGACAGCTCAACAACCGTGCGATCCTCGCCCATGAGCTGTTTCATCGAAGACAAGGCAACCTGAAAGAAAGATGTCACCATGATCACGGAAAATATGAGCACGCTGACGGGCTCCAGGCGCCGACGGCTGATCGGAAACCTATTGCGATCTTGGCGACGGATCATGATGGTGGTCACCCAGACGATGACGGTGCTGAGGAAGTCCAAAACGCCATCAACAAGGCCTGCCAGCATGGACATGGAGTCCGTCATGGCCATAATCGCAATCTTGGAGGCGAGGAGGGCGACATTGGCAATGAGGTTGATGCGGATGGCAATGTTGATGATGCGCTCCTCGTCATCGGGCGCCATACCTCCGTGCGATTCCAGGTCTGGCAATGGCTCCAGAGAGCTGCGAGTTTCGCCCGGGGATGAGACCAGAGGAGTTGTTTCGTCGGGGATTCGATAGAGGTTGTGAGGGGTGCGCTTGATCCTCCCTGACTTGGCATTGGTCTCCTCGGCACCAAGGTCACTCACTTCAGGCTGCTCGATCCGACGTTCGGGATGGGTTTCACTGTAATCTTCGATCAAGTTGTGGGGCAGTGAAGAATCCAGCAACCGGTCAATGTAGAGGTATTGCGAAATGAGGCTGTTGGTCCGTTCGTAGTATTGCCGGCTATGTCGGGTCAGTTCCCGCGATCACGATGGAGAGGGAGAGATGAAACCAACATCTTCTTGGGAAGATCTTCTAAGGATTCGGGAGATCGATAGTAGCGCTGCCTGTCGTTTCACTCAGAATGGTGTTCGAGACAGATATGGGGGATGCAGGTACCACTCATAGCGCGGATTGCTACTCCCAATCAAGAAGGATCCTCGACGAAGAAAGAGGCGACGTTCCGATTGATCATCATCCATGTCATTCAGGGCCAAACTCGATGCGCGCGTCGGCAAGAAGTTCATCAAGCGCTGGCCCCGAGTGGAGAGGATTTCGCGCTCGGGGTCCAGACTCGGTCGTCGCGGACGCAGCGGCGAGTCCGGGGGAGAGGACAGTGGAAGAAAGGGGGACGACATTGCAACAGGAATCGCCGTGACACCAATGCAGAATCGGAGAATTACGATTTGCGCGTATGATGTATCGCTGATTGATAAGTCCTTAGCGCCGGGGACCCTGGCGTTGGCGCGCTAGCCGATTGCCGCGTCCCCTCTATTTCTCCTTACATTTATGTATACAGCGTATACACCTGGACAGGAGGATATGATATGAATGATGGTGATGGGAATGTGCACTCGGTCTTTGCATTGGTGTAGGACAATATCTATGTGAAACCTTAGGAGCGCACACAACCTTGAAGATATATATGAGAATCATGGGTACGAAAGATCAAGAACGAAGCTTATGATCGAGTTTACTGCCTGGGTATATGTATCAATTCCAGGTACCGTGAGCCAATGAGGTCTACTTTGTTTCTCCATGTCCTCTAAGGTTGGCCCCCGGGCCATGCACTTCACGATGCCCATCCTGAGACCGCGTACTCCAAACTCCATATTCCGTACTTTGTCACTCGACCAAGTGGGTTCCTATGCGCTTGCGAGCCTTGACCGGGTTACTCTTTTCGTCAGGTAAGAAATATACAATAAGTCCTTAGTTGTGTACTCCGTATTTTACTATCAAAAAATAGTTGAAATTGAGAATCCAAGACCAAGAGGAATCTCGGATGTTCAAAGACAAGCGGGACTCCCGTTCCGGAATGCGGAGGGCGGAATGGACATTCCGCGGTCTCCGCCCGTGGGGATTGGTACACGACTTGCTGATTCTCTGCTCTCTGACTGGCCACTCACTCTTTCAACGATGTCACCGAGCATCTTCTCAGTGAGTCCGAGGACTCGGAAATATACCGTGCGTGAAATATAAGTTGGGGCCCCCTCCCAGGTTGCAACCTTCACACACCATGACTGCCCAAACCATTGGAATCGCCGTGATCGCGGTAGTATACTTGATTATCCGCTACTTCAACCGCACCGATGTGCCAAAGATCAAGGGCCTCCCAGAGGTGCCGGGCGTGCCCATCTTCGGCAACCTGTTACAACTAGGAGATCAGCATGCCACCGTGGCGGGGAAATGGGCCAAAAAGTTCGGCCCTGTCTTTCAAGTGCGCATGGGCAATAAGGTGAGTGTCTCCAATGGGGGACAGAGAGCAAATACTAAGATATGCGACCATGCAGCGGATTGTCTTTGCCAACAGCTTTGAATCAGTGCGCCAGCTCTGGATTAAGGACTCGTCTGCGTTGATCTCTCGTCCAACATTCCATACATTCCACAGCGTGGTTTCCAGCTCCCAGGGATTCACTATTGGAACATCGCCCTGGGATGATTCCTGCAAGCAGCGCCGAAAGGCCGCTGCCACGGCTCTCAATCGACCGGCCGTGCAGTCCTACATGCCCATCATTGATCTCGAGTCAAATTCCAGTATCAAGGAACTGTACCGTGACAGCCAGAATGGCAAGCTGGACGTGAACCCAACGACCTATTTCCAGCGATTTGCCCTCAACACCAGTCTGACCCTCAACTACGGATTCCGAATCGCGGGCAATGTGGACGATCAATTGCTACACGAGATTGTGGACGTGGAGCGAGGAGTGTCCAACTTCCGCAGCACCTCGAACAACTGGCAAGACTATATTCCTCTGCTGCGAATCTTCCCCAAGATGAACAATGAGGCGGAGGATTTCCGTGGTCGTCGGGACAAGTATCTCACCTATCTCCTTGACATGCTCAAGGATCGAATCGCCAAGGGGACCGACAAGCCTTGTATCACTGGAAACATTCTCAAAGACCCCGAGGCCAAGTTGAACGACGGTGAGTTATCTTAACAGGAGAACGTGGTTTCAGGACTGCTAAACTGACATCTGCCTAGCCGAGGTGAAATCCATTTGTCTGACCATGGTTTCGGCTGGTCTCGATACCGTTCCAGGAAACTTGATCATGGGTATTGCCTATTTGGCTTCGGAAGACGGTCAGCGCATCCAGAAAAAGGCCTACGATGAGATCATGTCGGTGTATCCCGATGGTGATGCCTGGGAGAAGTGTTTGGTGGAAGAGAAGGTGCCATATGTGACTGCCCTGGTCAAGGAGATCCTTCGGTTCTGGACGGTGATTCCCATCTGTTTGCCCCGGGAGAGTACCAAGGATATTCAGTGGAATGGAGCCACAATTCCTGCCGGCACAACTTTCTTCATGGTATGAATCCCCTTGCGCCTTCCGAGGTGTATACTCACTATCTCCAGAACGCCTGGGCGGCCGACTACGATGAAGACCACTTCAAAGATGCCGACAAGTTCATCCCTGAGCGGTACTTGAGTCTCAACGAAGGCTCGGGCACTCCTCATTACGGTTACGGAGCGGGTTCTCGCATGTGTGCGGGTTCCCACCTTGCCAACCGGGAATTGTTCACGGCATTCATCCGCCTGATCACTGCCTTCCATATGCACACTGCGAAGGAACCTGCTGACCGACCTATCCTCAATGCTATTGATTGCAACGCTATTGCTACAGCATTGACGACCGAGCCCAAGCCCTTCAAGGTTGGCTTCACCGCGCGTGATCCCAACAAGCTTGAGCAGTGGATTGCCGAGAGTGATGAGCGTACAAAGGATCTTTGAGTGCGCGTATCGCCATTCATTCCGCTCCTTTACCTCTAGAAGTTCTAAATGTATGCTAGTTTCTTTCGAGACCTTACCAAAATCATGACGAAGCAGACCAGAACGAAAATAAAGACTTGAGAATTCCAAAATCTCGGCCAGCTTCCAAGTTACCTAGGCACTAGGTACCAAGTAGTATTGAACGAGCAGTGTGGTGTCAAACTGTCTAGACGTGGAAGTATATAAGTCAACCGTGGACCTCCAGGGCTTAAGGTGAACCTATCACGGGCGAAACTAAGCCATATCGTCCAAGTAGCCGAGAGAATGCTCAACCTTAGAATAATGCTCAGAAATGAAATCAATTGCGTCCATGTTTTCCAAAGACAAGTGATGTGCAGTGCCAAATTGCCCAATGCGGTACAAGTGGAGTCGAGCGGAAACCCCCCGCATGTCGCCTCCGCTCCCCTTCCCTTTCCCTTCCACTCCCCTGCAGCCCATTACACATACCATGAGTGCTCTACAGAACTACTCCCATTGGGAAAAGCCACATGACTTGGACGACCGCCCGCGCAAGAAGCGCCGCAAATATATCGCCAAAGCCTGGTCAGTCCGTGAATCAATACCGTCCTGCTCTCTTACTGAATCAAGCAAGCAATGAATGCAAGCGCCGGAAGATTAAATGCAATGGCCAGACGCCCTGTGCACGCTGTGGGCGGCAGGATATTCAATGCATTTACGTGGAGAACGCGCACTGTGATACCCAGAATGAACAGGAGTACGCCCTTGTACGCCATGGCGTTGTTCACCGCTAACCCGAGTCAGGAACTTTGAGCGGCTGTTTGATCAGATGAGGGCGATGCAGGACCAAATTACGATGTTATCCGCTAGTGTTCGGTCGATCGCCAGTACGGAACAGTCGCCAGTTGGCCTGTCTACCTCAAGTAGCTATGGGCATGGCCTTCTTCCCGCCCCGCGCTCGCTTCGCCGCGTGTCCACGACGAAAGGGACTCCGTTTCAAGGGCCAACGACGTCCGCGTTTAGTTTTGACCTTGCTAAATCTAGTCTGCAGCAGCGTGGGATTGTCGAACGAGGAGAGGCTGGTGACGAGGGCGATATGGCCCAAGAGCCTTCGCCATTAGCATCTCCGTCGGCAAATCATGATATAATTGATGCTCGACATACGCTGGATCCTCTATGGGCTCTCCCAAAAGCCGAGGCGCTACGTCTTTGCCGTGTATATGAAGAGGAAATGGGTATCATGTACCCAGTGCTGGAGTTGCCGGAGCTATTAGAGCAAGTTGAGCTACTGTATAGTCCAAAGGACCGTACACTCGGCTCAAGCCTCCAGCCAGGTGGCAGACCTGAGCTGGATCGAGAAGATGTCCACATTCTACGCTTGGTGTTTGCCTGTGCCTTGACCGCGGAAGGCAGCGGTCAAAGTGACCAGGCCATCTCGTTGTTTGATAGCGTCCGGGAGGTCCAAGACAACTGTGTCTGGGGCCCGCCCGAGATCAAGAGCATAATCTTCCTCACTCTGGTGGTACGTTTGACCCGAGCATTTGTGAGTCCCTGACCATGTTAACCGAAACGGCAGTCTATCTTCTACTTTCAAAACGACGAGGAGACGTTGGCATGGCGTACCATTGGCATTGTCGAGCGCATGTGTCTCGAGAAAGGTCTTCATCGCCGCGAGTCTTTGAATCAACCGGGAATCGTCACCGCAGGGAAGGAAAAAGCTCTGCGGCTATTTTGGTCCACGTATATTTTGGATATGCGCTGGAGTTTTGGGACCGGCATGCCTTTTGCTTTAGAAGACACGGACATTGATCCCTGGCTCCCCGAGCCCGAAGAGAAGACCCCATACCTGCGAGTCATGATCAGATACAGCCGGATTGCGGCGAAAGTCTGGAAATTCATTTCAGCGTTTAACAACACGAACGAAATCAAAAAAGATGAGATGAACTATCTGGACTGGCAGGTGTTGCGCTGGGCCAATGCCATTCCAGACCCATTGCGACTCGAAACTTCGAAAGCCACAGAGCTTGGAACCTCCACAGATGGCCCGCGAAGCCTTCGCCGACTACGAGCTCTCCTTTATCTTCGTGCAAATCAGTTACGCATGTTGATCCACCGTCCTGTACTTCACACGGCAGCACATATCATGCGGTATCCGAGTGAATCCGAGACTGTGGTGGAGCTAGCGAAAGACACGATTCGCTTCATAACCCGTCTCAATGATACATCCGACATCTATCAGCTGCAACAAGTTGCCTTCAACTGGTTCCTCGTTTCAGCCTTGGCTGTTTTGTTTTTAGCTGTTGCGCAAGCGCCAACACAATTCAGTGGGTCGTGCAAAGAAGAGTTTTTCTGGGCGTTGGAATTGGTGAAAGGGTTTTCTGCTCAGTCGTATATTTCTCGCCGGCTATGGAAGTCAATTCGGAGTTTGCGAAAGCTTGGTCCTCAGCTCGGTTTAGGAGCCCAGAAACAGCGCCTTGACGACCACGCTGGGGTTGAACATGGGAAGCTTGATTCGAACGCGTCACCAGCGCTCGCTCCAACTGCGAGCACCCAGAGCCACACTCCGCAAGATGGGGCTCAGATGACACAGGAGCTAATGGAATGGTTCGAGGCGGTGGGCAACCTCGAAGATCAAATTTTGGGGATGGGCGCCGGTCCAGTGCCGGATGGGGGTCCCTACCAGCAGATGCCTAACGGGGGATTTGTCTTTGACTATGGTGAAGAGTTGTCAAGCGTTATGAAGGATTGTTTCTAAGAGGCACAGTTGCAAGCATTGCTGTCCGAACAAAGTGGTTTTGATTAGCTTATATATGGACTCGATACTAGGTATTAGCCCTGGAAAGGAACCCATAAAATGCCCGACACAAATAACCTGCTCAGCAAAATAGAGTTGCAGTAGTCAATACAGATCCTGTTTTCCCACGCTCCGAAATAAGAGATTTAATAGATGTATTTGAACTCCACTTCAGCGTCACCAGTGCGGATGCGCCGAGAATCTTCTATCTCGCCGCTGGCAATCTGCTCTTTGACCCTGTTCTCGCGGCGCAAGTAGAAGCCAAACGCAGCCACAGTGATCTGAGCCACCACTAGGGACCCCAATGAGAATCCATTGCCCAGGTAATAAGGGGAAGTTCGATAAACCTGCCCTGCAACAATACCCGCACAGTTTCCCATCGTCTGCTGTAAACCGATCTCCAAAGCACGGCGATATTGAGGGGCGATGTTGACATTTAACCAGGCGACATTGAGCCCGACGGAGGTGTAGGTAGTAATGCCGATGAGGAAGGTAGCGAAGTAGAGCACCGCTGTGTTTTTGACCGTGAGGAGCAGGATATATCCGATGATGCCGAAGATGTTTGCCGCAAAGATATACTACCAACCGTTAGAACCTTGGAATGGACCGACAGATTGCGGCGCTACTTACCGATGCGAATTTGGAGTAGCGATCGGAGCAGAAGGCAATGGCAATGAAGATCAGTGCAGCCCAGATGTAGACGGGCACTGTCAAGACATTGCTCATCAGCGAGTCATAGCCCATGCCACCCAGGATGGTGGGCAAGAATGTGCTGAACCCGTAGAGCAGAATGTCTTGACAGAATTGAATCACTCCACTGAAGAACAATTTCGGATCACTCAGTGCAATGCGCATCTCCTCCCAGCTGAACTTGTCACTGCCCATGTATTTGCGACGCTGCTCATTGCGCACCCTCATCATCCATCTCTCCTCTTCGTTGAGGAAATAGGCCTCGGCGGGGTTGTTTGGCAGACCAAACCAGATGAGGATGGCACAAAGGGCGCTGAACAAGCCTTCAATGATGTAGACCCATCTGCTGTGTGTTAGTGAATTGAAAACACCCAGCGACACAAGGGATGTACCTCCACCCGGCCTTGCCTCCGATTCCATCCATATGCAGGAGTCCGTAGGCCAGAAGACCGCCCACGGCCCCCGAGATTGCTGCACAGCTCATCAAATAGGACACACGCTTTGCTTGTTCCTCGCGACGATAGACCATGGTCAAGTAGAGATTCAGACAGGGAAACAAGCCCGCCTCACAGGCGCCTAAGATGAGTCGTGTTGCATAGAGGGAGCCCACGTTTTCAATGAAGCCCGTAAAGATCGTGGTCAACGACCAGACGATGCAGAGACATGTCAGGATGTTTCGCGGGGTCAGCTTTTTCATCAAGACTGCCCATGGTGCCTCGAAAATGACATATGTCACGTAGAAGATTGACACGGCGGTTGAGAACTGACTCTCCGAGGCGTTGATATCCTCGGGCATGTGTGCAACCTTGACGTTACCTTCGGTTGATTAGCATTTCACTCGCCGCGAGAGAGAGATACTCACCGATATTGGATCTGTCGAGGAAGCAGGACAAGTAGGTTAACATGATAATTGGGACAAAGGCTGCATCTAACTTGGCGAGGAGTTTGCGTTCTTTCTTGGGATCCAGCACAACGTCCTCAGCCTCACCAGTTTCCTCATCTTTGATTTCCTCATCTTTAAGTGAAGTCTTCATCTCCAGAGGAGCGCCAGCAACTGCCATTGCGATGATGGGGAATGAAGTTGTCCAGAATTCCAGGATTGTCCTTTTCACCTTAGAAGACTCGGTTATCTTTTGATAGTCCAGTCTTATCTCCCCCTCTCACAGTGGAGTCGTCGGGCCGATGACTGTGATAACAAGAGGCAGGGATCTCCCTGTCTCCGGGCAGTCCAGGTGAATGAACCTGGGCACATCCACTGCCACCGGAGAGAATAACTGGACACAATCACTGGATACAGCCACTGAATACAGAATGCAGAGTCCTCAGTGGAACAGCGAAGTGTCGAACGTGGGGATACCCCAGTACCCCAGACTCATCGGCAAGTGGATCCCGACAGCCCTTGCGCGGAGATTCTATAAGGTAATGAAGTAATGAAGGTAAGAAAATGAGATCCTCGGTCAATTCATTGCGGCACATTATACAATGGCTACAGCACAGGAGGCAAGACTGCTCTCTCGCCAGAATAAACTGTCCAATACGGCTGGAATTGCCCCGGGATACCTCCAAGCCAATCTCCTGGTGCTGCCAGCAACCTATGCCACCGACTTTCATGACCTGTGTCTTCGGAATCCGGTGCCTTGTCCACTCCTGGGCATGAGTGCAAACCCCGGAGACACAGCGACCATGCGCCCGCCCTGTATACGATCGGCGGATTTCGACATCCGAACCGACTTTCCCAAATACCGAGTGTACGCGGGCGGACACTTCATTGAGAGCAGACAGGATCTGCTGGATGTGTGGACCGACGATCATGTGGCGTTCTTGATAGGCTGTTCGTTCTCCTTTGAGGATGCGTTGACGGCAGCGGGCCTGCCCCCCCGGCATCAGAAAACGGGGACACTCGTTGCCATGTATCGGTCTAACATCCCCTTGTTACCGGCGGGGATCTTCACGGGGGGTAATTGTATTGTCTCGATGCGACCATGTCACCCAGAAGATATTGAGAGGGTGCGCAATATTACGCGGGAATATCGTCTGACGCACGGGGAGCCTGTCGCTTGGGGATGGGAGGGCGCCAAACAATTGGGCATCGGGGATGTCACCAAGCCGGATTTCGGGGAACCTCAAGAGTTCCTGGAAGGCGAAGTGCCGGTGTTTTGGGTGAGTCCGCAGATCCTACCTTGACGCTCTCATGGCTAACTGTATCCGAGGCCTGTGGGGTGACACCCCAGATGGCCGTCGAAGCAGCCGGGGAGAAGATCGAGGGCTTGGTATTTGCCCACGAGCCAGGACATATGCTAGTGACGGATTGGACGGCCGAGGAGCTACAGGGAGCGAAATGAAAATACTGAGCAGACATTGGACTGATGGTAAAGCTCTACACTCGTTACATAGCGTCGATTTGGAAACCATTGAATTCCGCCATCCCATCTCCAATAGCAAAGACCCCAATGATGGGACCAGTAAAGTCATTGTCTGTCAAATCGGCCGTGTCAAATACCGATGTGCACTGCCAGTCGCCTTCATCGGCCCGGAATGAGAATTTCACCGAAAATTCATCGTAGTCGATCCGGAAGGAGATGAGCCCTTGCAAGGTAATGTTGTAAATCTCGGTCTGCTCGATCGACCTTGCTCCATTGAGGGCTTTGAACTGCACTCGCTGAAGCCCAGAATCATACTCGATCGCCACGAATCGGTGTTCATCCTTGTATAGACATAGCCCGGCGCGCAGTGTGGGACTATCCAGCGTGGACAGACTCACAGCCGCAGAGCTCTGCAATGCCCGTTGACGCTGCCCAACAAATGTGACAGACTGATCGGGACTGGTGAGGTCAACTGTGTCGGCCTGTAACGTGATCTTGGGGCCTTCAATCCGGTAACGCTCAAGGACGGCGTCTCGGAGATGCACCCAAGGCGCCAGTGATGCCTCATCAAGCAATACGGGGCAAACGCTGGGGCGTTGGTCGGAATCCGGGGGCTTCACCGTCGGCCACTCATCTTCAGGCCACTCGACTGCCGTCAAGAAGGTTTCACGCCCCATGATAGATCGGCCTTGGTTCTTGCGAACACCCAGTAACACCGCCCACCACTTGCCAGTCTGATCCTGGAAGAAATCACCATGGCCAGTGTTTTGAATGTATCGATCGGTCCCACTGGCTGTGTACAGTGGATTTCGTTCGTAGGACTCGTATGGACCCCAGATATTCCGAGATCGTGCGATGCTCAGCATATGATCTTGAAAGGTGCCGCCCTCAGCAACTAGCAAGTAGTACCACCCATCCTTCATGTAGACATGCGGTCCCTCGGTAAATCCCCTTTTCCACCCTTCGAAGATCAGCGTGGGTTCTCTGATGACTCTGCCGGTCTCGATGTCGATCTCCATGTTGTAGATTTGGAATTGCGGTCCCACTTTGCACAGTTGGACATACACATGATCATTGTCAAACAGGAGTGATGGGTCGATCCCCGGAATGTCGAAGACGATGGGGTCTGACCACTGACCCGATCGAATGTCCGATGTGTGAATGATGAATTGCTCGTTTCGTTCATCACCGGGCAGATTGGAGGGCCCATGAATCACGTTGGTACAAATGATGTAGGTGATGCCCTTGTGATGGCGGATTGTGGGTGCATATAATCCTCCAGTGGCCACCAAGGTCGTTCCATCCCAGGGGTCCAGGAATGTGGTAGCTCTTTCTAAAGACACTTGCGACCGTCTGGTAATGGCGTTTCCTGTCCCTGTTAGTATCTAGCCGAGCAGGATTGGATTTGAATTACCGATATGAGTCCATGAGATCAGATCCTTGGATGTATAGATGGGTAGCCCAGGGAAGAGATGGAAACTTGAGGTGACCAGAAAGAAAGAATCCCCAATCCGGCAGATTGAAGGGTCTGGGGAGAACCCAGGGATGATTGGATTCGAGTAAGTCATGGATAAGATCGTTATTTTCCGGGCTGATGCCGGTCGTGTTCCCCATTTATGTGGCGCGAAGACTCAATGGGCTCAACCCGCATGGGACACGGGTGGCACTCCGAAACACCCGTCGACAATGGCTTCACAGAGCTGCCCCGCGTTTGGTGAATCACATTAGGCTGAATGGTATGTGAGTGCAAAGGATATGGTTATTCATTTTGCCATACATATGAAGCTTGAGCCTTTGCGGGAGAGGTGGACAACCCGTAGGACCACACTCTGCCCGGAAAGCGAGATTCGATTGTAGGTACACGAAGTTGAAGTGGCCGAGATGACGGGGACTGTGAAGCCTCCAAATGGGCATTTCTTCCTCGCGGGGAGACTCTTCTCGCGGGTGAAGTGGTGGAGATCCCCAAACATGCGAGCTCTGTACTTCTACATCTTGGTGCTGATTTTGACAAACACTGCAAATGGGTTTGACAACTCAATGATGTGAGCTTCAACATTGTTTCTTTTCTTTGTGAGATCTAATAAAGCTAGGAACGGCCTTCAAACGCTGTCCTACTGGCAGGAGTATTTCGACCACCCCCGAGGTCCAACATTGGGCCTGTTCAATTGTGTCATGAGTGTGGGCGCGTTAGCCGGCTTGTTGGTTCTTCCTTACATGCTGGACTACTGGGGGAGAAAGATTTGCCTGGTGATTGGGTCTCTCTTCATGCTGCTGGGAGTTGGATTGCAGTCCGGCGCTATTAATTTCTCCATGTTTGTCGGTGCTCGATTTATCCTGGGATTTGGGGACATACTGGTCATCTGTACAGCACCTCTTTTGATCACTGAGATTGCACCCGCCCAGGATAGAGCAATCCTGGTCACCATAGCTGGTGCGACATACCACTCTGGTGCGTTCATTGCGGCATGGACAACCTATGGAACCCTGCGAATCAAGGTGCGCCAGAGAGATCCCATTCCACGCTCAAGCTAATGCGTTATTTCAGAGTGATTGGTCATGGAGGGCACCGAGCTTGATCCAGGCACTCTTCACCTTGATCATGCTGGCCGTAGTGTGGTGGATCCCCGAGAGTCCACGCTATCATGTCTCTAGTGGCCAGCCAGAAAAGGCCCTGAAGACACTCGCATACTACCATGCCGATGGGAATGAGCAAGATGAAGTCGTCCAATTGGAGTACGCAGAAATTACAACTGCCATTGCTATGGAGAAAAGCTCAGAGCATTCCGGATCTTATAAGGACTTCTTACGGACGCCTGGCAACCGAAAGCGCCTTCTCATCATAATCACCTTCGGTCTCTTTGCTCAATGGTCGGGGAATGGGTTGGTGTCGTATTACCTGAACCTGATCATGGATAGCATTGGCATCAAAGATGCGAATCAGCAGCTGTTGATCAATGGAGCGTTGACATCCTTCAATGTAGCTACCAATCTATTCTTCAGCTTTTTCGTTGACAAATGGGGGAGAAGGCCAATCATGCTTTTCAGCTCAGCGGGGATGATGGTGGCCTTTGTGATCTGGACAGCACTGTCGGCGAAATATGATGCTCATGCAAGCTCCGCCCTCGGATCAGGAGTGCTGGGGATGATTTTCATATACTATCTCTTCTACAACATGAAGTGAGTGCTATGATACAATTCTTAGGCTCAGAATGCATTGTTAACACGGATCTAGGTCTGGGCTGATTGCAAGTTACACGACGGAAATTCTTCCGTACTCGTTGCGCGCCAAGGGATACACCATTATGGAGTTTGCGATGTACGTGGCACTCTTTTTCAATCAATACGTCAACCCAATCGCGCTTGACAAAATTCACTGGCGTTATTACATCTTCTACTGCTGCTTCCTAGCCGTGGAAGTCGCTGTGATATGGTACTTCTACCCGGAGACACGGTACTTGCCTCTGGAAGAAATCACAAAGCTGTTCGATGGAGAAGACATCGTCGTGGCCACTAACATCGAGCTGGGTAAGATTGACGAAGAGGGCAAAGCGGTCACAACGGCGATTCACATCGAGGAGGCAAAGCCTTAACAGCCGGTGAAAAAGAACCTTGAAAGTTTGAACTTTGGAATTTAATGATGGACTTGATAGAACGAGCATTCAATTGCATTTATCAAAGCACCTCAAGGCTGGGGGATCCTGTGTTATTCAAATGCTTTCAAGGGTTGCTCGTTGGTGTCCAAGGTCAAATATGTGGTGCTGTAATGTTTGATGTGGTCTCAAGATCATGGACTGTTGGATTCTACGTCAAATGTCCTTTCCCCTTTGTACCAGGTCTCTCGAATTTGAGCATCCAATACCAATTCTGGGTCCCATTGCATATCGAGAACAACAAAGTCAGCCTGAAACCCTGGAAGCAAGCTTCCTGTCCATCCATCCGCGAATGAGGCGTAGGCTGCACCCGCAGTGACTGCCGAAACAGCGGTAACGAAAGGGACAGCTTGTTCCGGATTGACAGTCTTACAGGACGACGGCTCTAGTGCAGATCTTCGGGTCGTAGCAATGTAGAAATTGGGCAATGCGTGATGAGCAGCTGTGGGCGCATCAGTCCCGAAAGTCAAAGGTGCACCTCCCTCGACAAATTCTCGGTATGCAAATGCTCGCGCGCATCTCTCAGGGCCCAGCACCTCCGGCCAGTCTCCGAAGGTTGCCGGATCAAGATGCACGGGTTGGACTGACGCAATGATGCCCAGCTGGCCTAGTCTTTTCGCGTCTTCGGGTGTCGTGATTTCAAGATGTTCGATTCGATGACGACAGCTCGAGAGATCTGGAACCATTGATAGGCAGTCAATAGCTTGTTTGACGGCCCGGTCTCCGATAGCGTGAATGGCACATTGTAAGCCAGCCTCGGATGCGCGGAGGATGGATGCTGCTAGAGCATCGGCAGGCCATATGGGGTCGACTGCAGTCAGGAGTTTACCGTATGAATGGTGAAGTGCCGCAGTGCATCCGTCGACCGTTCCGTCACAGAGAAATTTGACACCGCTAATACAGAATTCGGGAGTGCTTATGCGATTGTAATGTTGATGCAGGGAAATTGCTCGGTCAATGTGCTTGTTGATTTCGGCGGCGTCACTTGAAAAAGGAATCAGCCAGTGTGCGCCGATGTGGAATGGGAATTTACTGCGCTCTTTGCGATATGTGTTCAGCACTTCCCAGCACTCCTCGGTCATCGCCATGTCAACCAATCCAGTGTATCCCGCACGCTTTTGGGCGGAAATCGCGGCATCCACGGCTGCCAGCTTCTTCTCCAATGAGGTGACTCGATTCAGGAATGGCCACACAATCTCGAACTGAGCTGCTTCGTCCAAAATACCTGACGGCGACCCATCATGATGTCGATGTATTTTGCCCCCGGAGGGATCTGGCTTAGAATCGAGATCCAACTCCCTCAACGCCGCACTGTTGCACCAGGTCGAGTGAAGATCCTGAGCCTCAATATAGATCGGCCGAGGATCTAGATCATCTAAGCATTTGGCCAAAGCTGTGCCGTTGGTGACCGATTGGTTCCACCCGCGACATAAAATGCGAGGCTCAGATGGATGCGTCTCCGCAAAGGCTATGATAGCTTGGCGGATATCTGAGAGGGACTCGCAGCGGAGAAGATCAAGCTTCTGGAGCGATAGACCAAAGTTGAGGATGTGCACATGGCCATCAATAAATCCAGGGAGGACAATGCGATTCTCCAAGTCGACGGTGCGCCCCTCTGCCCGAGCGCGCATGATCTCTTCGTTATCCCCGTGGCCTACATGGGTGATACGGTCACCGTTAACCACCATGGCTGAGACGAAGGGGTCCCCCAACGTAGGGGAAAAGATCCAAGCGTTGATGAAGACTGTTTGCATGTTGGAAAAGACTCAAGAGGCGAAACCCGAAAGACGATGTCCATTGCGGTGTTGAGAGATACAGTAAGTACACCTGAGTAGTGAGTAAAATGAGTCAAGTGAGGGAAGTGAAATATGAGTGAAGTAGGTTGACAGGACAGCAAAAGGAGGTGAGTCTACTTCGCATGTCTGTGTGACTTCGCCATTTATTGGACGTCAGTTGCCCAATCTTTGGTGTCTAGCGAGTTGATTCAATTGTTCTCACTTCGTTGCGCTCAGGTTATTGTTGGAATGCAAGCTGTTCCAATCACTGTTAGGAAGCAATTCCCCAACACCAAATGCTCTTCTGGGTCTCTTGATGAGAAGATCATGCGAAAAGTCCTACGACATATCTGAAGCTTTTCTCGACGAACTTGGAAGACTTCCACCATTGATTTGCACATGGGCATGATATCCACGGAAACGGACCATCTTGAACATCGAATCTGCGCGTTTATCTTCCAAGGTTGAACACAGCGAGGCTCAGCCAGCCATCTGTGACGCTGTGCAACGGAATGGGGCGGCCCTTTCTAGGCAAGATGTCTTGGTGGGTCAGACAGCTTGACAACTTGACAATTCAACTCTCAGGATCTTTCAGTTTGCCTCTCCAAGTGTGAAAGTGTCAGGATGCTTCGTCAGTTGCGGTCGGAAGGTTGAAGGCACACGGTCTTGGCAGTGGGTGGACTTTCCTGATCGGGAAGATCACCTGACACAGCTCCCCCAGTGCTCACTGAGCTACTCTAGACTCTAGAGACCTCGAGACATTCCAATAACATGCTGTGTTCTCCTTTGGACTAACAAGAGCTTTGCGGAAAGGGTGATTTGTGCCCCCGATATCCTGGCGATGTTGTCCCAGTCGTATCGGAGACCTCGCCGCCCACCAGCCTCACTGAGAACGAAAAGTGGCTGCTTGACCTGTGGGTAACTCCCTCTCATATCTGAACTGAGAGTCAAATTGGCTATGTTGGTCCATTTTGCTTGCTTTATATCGGCAGTGGCTGTCATTGAAACCGCCATACTGATAGGTTTGGAGGTCGGAAGCGAAGAAAGAAATGCGATGAAACACCCACCATTTGTCGCAACTGCGCCAAACAAAACACCAAATGCCTTTGGCCGGGGCGAATAGCCCGATCCGTGTCGAACCGTGACGCCGAGTTCTCTTCGACAGATAGAGCAAAGCAACGGAAGCCGCAGGGCTCCACCGCACCAGATGATCGGTCGGAAACGGAAACGGACAAGGCAATCGAAATGACCACAAAAGAGAAATCTAGACGCTCGGAGTTCGGTGATGACCCATCGAGGTGGATGCAACCTGTCTTCTTGAACACCAGTGGGGCCCTGGGTGTTGGAGGAGGCTATTTGATCGGGATGGAGTACTCAGCTTTCACTCGGGGTAGTGGCATGTTGTTTGAGTTTCTAAAAGCAATCTTTCTTCCCCAGCTGATCCGCCCAACCGCAACATGTCGCGTAATTCAACTCTTCAGCGGGGAGTCGCTGGCCATGGCAACGCAAGAGCCAGCTTGCATGCATGCGTTGCTGGCATGTTCTGGAGCTGAAATTCCCACACAGACATCGTCTATCCAGAGCCTTGCGCGCTATCATTACACCAAAGCAGTGGCTGCCCTGCGGGACAGTCTGGCACAGGGGGAAATGACCCACCGATGGCTCGTCATCATGCACACTGTCTTGATGCTTTGCATATATGAAGTTTGTAAAGGAACGAAGGACCGAGACAAAAGCGTTGCTAACACGAAGTTGACAGAGATCTAAACCTCGAGGTCCTGCAAATGCTGAGATACACCTAGCCGGTGCGGCTCAATTAATCCATCTTGCCTCCCAGAAGTGGCAAACGAGACCAGGCGCCTCGGAATCAGAATGTATGATGCATCGCCTGGTTCATGAGTCATTTATCTTCCACGTCGCAACAAGTTTGCCGTTCCAACCAAACGGCGAGACGACCGCCAATATAAAATCCGCGTTTGCCTTGTCAGAGAATCACCTCAGTCAGTACTTTCACATACCACGGCTCTCCTACCCAGAGTCACCGGTCCTAGGGGTATCGCCTCAACTATTCCGTTACAGCTTCGCGGTCTACAGTCTCTATCGACGGTTTTCTCCCAACCAATCCAACTTAAAATTCCGAGATAAGCTGGAAACAGAATTAGCATGGTGGGATCGTTGGACGCAAGCAGCTTTGCCAGACTCGCCTAGGAGGCTCCCGATGAATCAAGCTGATTGCAGTCATATGGCCCATGCTTCATGGCACCAGATGGCTGAAAAGGATCGGACTGCTGTCCTCGGCCCACGTCTGTATTTCATAGGATGTCGAATCCTACTGCAGCGAATGCTTTACCATGATCAATGCAGGCCTGATGAAGTAATTGATGCTTTACTCAGCGAAGGAATGGGCGCAATTCGACGTCTCCAACCTGCGATGGACTATTTTGCCGAATATTACTGCTGGCCGTTTTATGTCATAGGCATTCACCTGGTGGAGCCATCGGACCGGGATTGTCTGTTGGCCCAGGCTCTAGCCTTTTCAGTGGCTACCAACAACGGCACTATGAAACGGCTATCAGATGTTCTCCTGAAACATTGGGATCTATCCGAGGCTGCTTGAACCACAATTGCAGATTGCTTGAGGAATAGAACGTTTCGGGGCGAAAACTCTGCAAAAAGCAGTTCGCTATCTATATTCCATCGAATTTTGAGTACCTCTGCTCCTTCGAAGCCTGATGGCCCAGAACGGATTCTCTCGTGTGCTCTGAGTCCAGAGGTAAGATGTCGCCGAACTTCGGCACTCGGCATTGTTTCCGACCTCGGGGGCCCCAGCTCGAACGCCATTTGTCAGCTGGTGGATTATTAATGGAGATGAATGCCCCGGGGCTGTTCAGGTGCTTCTTTCAGGGCATTAAGACTTCATCCCAGGCACGACTTAGCATTTATTCCCGGCCAACGACCAAAACCATGCAGTCCGCTGGATTTCGTTCTCCGGCCATTGTCAAGGCAGGTGGACTCCCATACTTTACTCCTGCCAACAACGGCGGAGCAGCCGTAAGCCCACAGGCCTCTGATACACCCACTCTTTTCCGGCCTCTCCAAATTCGCGATGTGACATTCAAGAATCGCGTGATCGTGGCACCTATGTGCATGTATTCGGCGGAATCAGATATGACCTCACCTGCGGTGGGCGCTCTCACGGACTATCACATCGCGCACCTCGGTCATCTGGCTACCAAAGGCGCCGGTCTGATATTCATTGAGGCTACCGCTGTTCAACCCAACGGTCGCATCTCACCCAACGACAGCGGTCTGTGGCAAGAAGGAACAGACTCGGAGCAGTTCAAAGGCCTTCGCCGCGTGGTGAATTTCGCTCACAGTCAAGGGGCGAAAATTGGAATTCAGCTAGCACACGCCGGCCGAAAGGCGAGCACGGTATCCCCTTGGCTCGCATCGCAAGCCCAAAAGCGCGGCATCAAAGCTGATGAGAGCGTTGGCGGTTGGCCGACCAACGTAGTAGGACCCTCGGGGGGCGAGGACCACATTTGGGCTCCCGGTGATCAATTCTGGGCCCCGCGGGAGCTGACCACCGCTGAAGTTGAAGATGTTGTTCGTGCCTTTGCGCGGAGTGCGGAGCTCTCAGTTAAAGCAGGAGTGGACGTGATTGAAATCCACGGAGCTCATGGATATCTCATTCATCAGTTTTTAAGCCCGGTCACCAATCGACGAACCGATAAATATGGGGGCACCTTGGAGAACAGGCTTCGAATTGTGTCGGAGGTAGCCAAGGCAATTCGTGCGGTCGTTCCGGCTGGAATGCCACTCTTCCTTCGGATCAGTGCCACCGAGTGGCTCGAAAACGAGACGGTCGCGACCGAAATTGGAAGCTGGGACATGCCCTCCTCCATTGCACTGGCCAAGCTGCTTCCCAGTCTGGGGATTGACTTTTTGGACGTGAGTTCAGGAGGCAATCACAAAGACCAACGTATCCAGCCCCATACGAATTATCAGATCGACCTTGCGGGTCAACTTCGCCGCGAGATTCGTCGTGCGGGCCACACTACACTTGTTGGCGCCGTTGGATTTATCACCGAAGCTGAGTCTGCCCGCGACATCGTTCAAGGCGCAGAAGAGGCGGAAGCGACCGAATCGATTTTGTCGGGCAAGGCGCCTAAAGCGGATGCAGTCCTGCTCGCTCGCCAATTCCTTCGTGAGCCGGAATGGGTACTTACTGCGGCCAAGAAGCTTGGTGTGGAGATATCGGTTCCCTTGCAGTTTGCGAGAGGATTGCTCTGAGGTCTGCTTATGCTCGGCGTAGAAAATGTGACCAAACAAAGGCAACGTTCCGCACATACTCCGTACATCGTCGGTATTTCCGACGGTCATCGTTGACAGTCAATCCATTCAGACCCCACCCAAGCAGCAAGGGGTGCATTTCCCCGCGAATCATTTCCTATTCTAGACAGATTTAATTGCTCCCATGCGGGTGAATGTTTCAACTTCAGGACGGGGTACTATAATCGTTAATGCACGACGAGGAAGGACGAATAGGACATCTCTTCCGAGCCACACTGGAGGTGCTCCTCACGAGGCGTCCAGTGAATCCTCAACGTGCAACGCCAAGCCCCGGGCCAAGGCTTCGGCGGCCGATGTTACAATGCATTTCGAGCTAAATATGCACAGAGGGATGCGACAAGATAAGACCAGATATAAATCTATTACCTGCTACCTCTTGGTGTTCAAGTCACCCTTGTATTCGCTGAGGGTCGACTTATCCCCGCGCTAATATCGAGTTCCGCTCAAACCGCCAGAATCATGGGTATCTCTGCGATTGCATGGCTCTTGGTAGTCAGCCAGCCTCTGCTAAGTGGTGCACTACCTACCCCATCGCCACCTGGAATACCTTCTACGTCAACAGCAACTAGCGAGCTTGCGGGATTGACTGTTGCTGCACAGGGATCGCAGGATGGATACAGTCGGACTCTGTTTCCCCATTGGATCACTCAAAGCGGGTGGGTGTTTGCCGATACTCCTCGAGACACAACTCGCTGACCACTCGTCAGAAGTTGTAATACACGGGAAGTCATCTTAGCGCGAGATGGGACAAATGTGGTGCAAAGCTCCAGCTGCGCTGCAACCAGCGGGACATGGTACTCTCCGTACGACGGGGCTACTTGGTCTGCTGCAAGTGACGTTGACATTGACCACGTTGTTCCGTTGTCCAATGCATGGAAGGTATGTTGACTGGCATTTGTTTTGGTAAGCCAGACGCTGACGAGTCTTTAGTCCGGTGCCGCTAGCTGGACCACAGCAGATCGTCGGGCTTTTGCCAATGATCTGACCAACCCTCAGCTCCTTGCGGTCACCGACAGCGTCAATTCGTCAAAGGGAGACAAGGGCCCAGAAGATTGGAAACCTCCTTTGGGTATGATGCCTTGGTCGCTGTTCACTGATTTTTGACTAACCCCCAAATAGCGTCGTATCATTGCACTTACGCCAAGATGTGGGTGAAGGTCAAGTCCGTTTACAAGCTCACTGTGACGTCCAAGGAAAAGGCTGCTCTTGTTGAGATGTTGGACACCTGTTAATTATTCTCTTCCCGGGCACACCTGGGCAGTGTATACCTAGGTATCCATGATGTGCAGTTGGCCATCGCAGAGCCTAAGATCACAGCCTGGTTGGACACATTCTATGACATGCTATTCATCTTCATCAGCAAGTCTACCTATGATGAGGTATATCAAAGAAATATATAGTACTGTATCAACTTCAAAGTTTCAAGGTTGGAAGCTCAGAATGCTAGATTTTCCCACGAACATTCCAGCTTCAAAACACCTAGGTAGCCTGTATTTATTGAGGACAGAGGATATGGTCTTCGAGACATACTGGCCCAGGCCAAACTCCAATGAGCAAATCCTTTCCTTCTCCATAGTATGCCCTATGATGTCAGCGGAGTTGTGGAGAAGGCGTTTTGGAGATTTAGCCGACGGGATGTTCGCTTTTGCGATGGTCCTTGCCAGGGATACTACTATATTGTGTTATTACAATGAGTAGTAGGACCCTGTCGAGCTCGGATCTCTTTATACTAGTACGATGCCCTTGCAATTAGGCCCAATGGCACTTGCAAGTGAGTGGAAGACATCCTGAACAAGGAAATTTGCAGAGTGGAGTATCTCCCCCAGCCAAGCATTTGCCAATGATGCTTCTTTTCGGCACACCGAACCACTGTGGCGAACTCGGCATTGGGGTTCGTGGGGAGGGCTCACGTCCCTCGCTTAGTTGCTGGTCGCGGGTTTATGTTTGCTTTTTCCCCGTTTCTTGGGCTTGTCTCTTTCATCGCGGTCATTCCACATCATGTCGATTGAGAAAGCTCCTGCAGGCGAGCGACAGGACCTGGAGAAAGTGACCGACTCGTGTCGCGAAAACTCCCCCTTGCTACTATCCGAAGACCAGGCACTCGCCCAGGCACGGAGCAGCCCCAACGACGCCCTCCCGATTCTCATTGCCTATGGCTCCAATGACGGGGATAACCCGCGCAACTGGCCCAAGTGGCGGAAATGGTATATCACCATTGTGGTCAGCATGTTGAATGTGTTCACGTATGTCTTTCTTCACCGGCTGCGCGATGACGCTAACCCCGGACAGAACATGGTGTGCGGGTGGAATTTCGTCCGGAGCGACGGGGATCCAAGAGGAGTTCGGCGTATCGGCGGAGATCACGACCCTGGCATTGTCCCTGTACGTGCTGGGGTATGCCATTGGGCCCGTCCTTCTCGCGCCGCTGTCTGAATACTTCGGTCGGCAACCGGTCTACGTGGTCTCGTGGTTCTGTTTGTTTATCTTCCAACTGCCCCTAGCGCTCGCGCCCAATATCGGGACCATCCTAGTCTGTCGCTTCCTTGCAGGCTGTGCAGGAGGAGCACCCCTCACAAACACGGGAGGGAGTATCAGTGATATGTGGGAACGCAACGAGAGTGGAGGTCCCATGGCGGTGTACGGGCTCAGCAGCACCTTCGGACCCCCGATGGCGCTCGTGATCACAGGCTATATTGGACTCAATTTGGGGTGGCGGTGGATTTTCTGGGTCCTGATGGCGATGACCGGGGGCGTGTGGGTGGTGCTGGTCACCACCATCCCCGAGACTCGGCATACAACGGTCCTGCAGAAAAAGGCTAAGCGTGCCCGTCGCCAGATGCAGAAGGAGGGTTTGGCGTCCGCTGAATCGACCACCGACATGCACGCGAGCGACCGTAAGGGGCTGCACGAACTCTTTGGGATCACCCTCACGCGACCGTTCCGCTTCCTCTTCACAGAGCCCATCACGTTGTTTTCCGCCATCTACAATGGATTCCTGTACGGGCTGGTCTACTTGTTCAACGAAGCTATCCCGTTGGTTTTCGGAGCCCCCAAGGGTCATCCATTCAATACCGGACAACAGGGACTGGCATTTTTGGGAATGGCGATCGGCCCTCTGATTGCATTCTGTTTCTACCCACTTCAGGAACGATACTATTTGCGCCGAGTCGCCGAAAACAACGGCAAAGGTGTCCCCGAGGCTCGGATGTGGATGGCCCGCGGCGGAGCCATCTTGATCCCCATCAGTCTCTTCTGGTTTGGCTGGACCAGCTATCGATCGGTTCACTGGGTGGTCCCCATCATTGCGTCGTCCTTCTTCGGGGCGGGGATCTACATTGTCATCCTCAGCATTCTGAATTACGTGGTGGATAGCTACCAGACGTACTCCGCGTCGGCGCTGGCGGGAGTCATTCTCGTGCGCAATGTGGTTGGGGCTGGATTCCCACTCTTTGCAACTCAGATGTATGAGAAACTGGACTACGAGTGGGCGTCCAGTCTCCTGGGCTTCATCTCGATCCTGCTCGTCCCTATCCCGTTCATCTTCTTCTACAAGGGCCAGGCAATCCGCCTCCGCAGTCCTTGGGCCAGAGAGCACTTCGAACAAAATGAGGATTCACCTCATTAAGTGCATACTGTTGAATGTATACATAACTTTAGCCATGTGCATAGACTTGCTTTTTAAAACCAATGAAACCAAAATTCGATACATTTTGGAAGACATCTCATATACTCTGTGATTTATAACTATTCATGAATGCATTGTGCCTGCTTTCCAAAGTCCATCGAGTGTATTTTCTCAAAGGGGGGACTCGACGTATGTAGAATGGAAGGCTTCAACCCTAGTATTTCTTCCCAAGTGTTCCCAGGTTCTAACTCAGCGATGGACTTTGTACATACACATCAATTTCACATTCCATCTGGCAACTGTCATTCGCTATCTGTGTTTAAACAGAACATGCACTCTATACCATGTTGAACCTGGGGAGCAAGTGCCGCTGGCTCTGGTAGAAGAAAAGTCCCGCTTCACACCAATAGTCTCAGACCGACGCGTGGATCTTAGGATACCCAGCTGTAACTCAGGACAGGGACCTGGAAGACCGGCGCAGTGCACGTAGCATTGAAGAAGGAATCATGGGTGCAGGTCAGGGGGAAGTCGGTGCTTCCAGAATACGTGATCTTGCTTCCGTTGTTGCATTGGAGGGCATGTCCGGCTCCAAGGGTGTAATCCATATGGCCAGTCGAGGTCTCAAGGTTCGAAGTCCCGTAGAATGAAACAATACGGCCGGCGCCACGATCTGCGTATCCGCAGTTGGTTTCCCCATGTGCAATGTCATGGATGCGATAGCCAATGTACTGGTCATGGCAAGTGAGGCCATCTTCGAAGCCGATATCCAGTGTCGCCAGGGGGCCGTATCCCCACGGCTCGTAGTTGGGCATTCCAGTATAGCACACGTTGACCATAGTGCCATTGCAAGTCGCAGGATCTGGCTCGCACCAGGATCTACCGCACAGACAGCCCTTGGTGTTGATATCGACCTGGTTGTGGATACAGTCTAGGCTGTGAGATCCGTTGTACCACTGGAAGTTGTTGACTGTCCAGGTTGGGATTGGACATCCATCCGGTGGGGTGATGGACTGGACCTCGGCGCGGGCCGGAGTGGCCAAAAGCGCAAAGAGGCTTGACAACAAGAGAGAACCCATTTTGAATGCTGTTCGATACTGTGGTATTGCAATGAGATATGAGTGATAAAGAGGAGGGAATGACGGTTATATACCACTTTGCCATGCCATGGACATCCAGAACCTCTGTTGCAACCTCGGAAATACCGGTGGAGTTGACTTATGCAGGTAAGCTCGCTAAAGCCTCAGCCCTGAATCCCGTAGCAGAGAGAGCCAATGAACCCGGCTCCACCCCGGGAACTTCAAGACATATCTGAATCGATTCCCATCCAAAGCATTGCCCTTTGCACTTGGCATCGCACGATGGCTTAACAAGGCTGAAGAAAAAGGGAAAACAACCGACCACATAAGCGGAGTGACATCGACAACTGAAACCGTTGACCCTCACCTCGTGGCTTGGTACGAAGTAATTGTAGGCTGCGGAGGTTGAAATTGTCTGAGAAAGAATTAAACACACGTACCTAAGCAGAGAGAACCCTGATACAAAGCCTATTGACATGAGGGCTTTGATCATTCATACATTGAATTCGCAGTGCCGAGACGACGCTACATTTTACTTAGACCACTTTCCTAACAGAGTAAGAGAAGGCAGAGCCCTGGATAACCCTCTAATAGTACCCATTCCTGCGACATCCGTGGGCCTTTCCAAAAGTTTCGACATACCCAAAGATGGGTGAAACGAAATATCATTCTCACTTTCGCTCTAGATTGAGGGCTCCGACATGACTTTTGATAGAAGAAGACTTAGACTGGTCGGTCTATCACTGACGGTTGGAATCAATGTAATTCCCAATTGAAGCACATAATTCCCCACTCTTAGCTTGGCTCATTGAGCAACCACGGCTTAAAAGACCATGTATGACACTGCCACTGGTGGCAGCTTGGCTAACCTTGAAAGTGGTTCCCAGTTATGCAAGACGACTTTGGATGACTAGCATAATGGCCGATTGAGTGTCGGGATACTAGACACAACCACAAAGACTTGGCTTGGATCTTCTGGCAAGCCACAGGGTGCCATTTTTTAGAAAATGCTTTCTGCGAGCTTGATTCCTGAGCGATACTCTGGAGTGAGATCTGCAGACCACGGAACGAGTGTGACGCGAAGCTGGTCGCGATACTTGCCTTCGAGGCGAAGGCTCTCATAACAGGCAATCGTCATGGCAAGATTCTGAGGGAACTTGAGTCAATCTTCTCCGGGGCGCTACGGTGGCTATCATTGGGCTGGCTTCAATGGAAACCACTGGAAAGAAAAACACACGGCCATCTACTACAATTTTTGTGAGAGATTTACCCTGTCGCTGTTCATCGAACCTTGGAACTGACCGTGCGCTTTGGAATATAATATTGGTCACTTTATCTTTGGCTGAAAGTACCCAGAATTATTGGATTCTCATGTGCGAATATTATTTGTACCGCTTTGCAACAAAGAATGATTAATTTTGAATCCGAGTAACAGTTGAGCACCATTGATTTAGTATGGATGTTGGGGATCACTTGATTCTTGCTCTCTCTCCAGCTCCATCGCAATCAACTCATTGATCTCTCTTACTGCCTTCTATCAATGGAAGTTATCTTCATTCTTCGCTTCGCCATACGATTCATGGCTTGTTAGACACACCATTGGAAGAAAAAGGGAGTAGTTCTACTCTGCTTGGGTTGGCGGTTAGGGAAATAGAGAGGAAAAAGAACTTTGAATGAGTGGAGGGAACAAGTCCTAGAAAATTGGTATCTTTGAGTTAAGCCACCTGGGCAGTTTCAAGGCTGCTCGTGAGTACTTCACAAGTATCGAGCTTGAGCCACTTTAAGCCCCCTGTGGGCTGTGCGTGGCCCCCCGGGGCCCGTAGGCTGTACTACGTAGCACTCTGGGGCGGCCCGCCCCCGGGGCCGTTAGGTCCAAGCAGGTATTTGTTGAATGCCACGTTACAAAAACATACATTGCAGCATGATAGATACCCCTTTAGCCCTGATATACGTCTCAAAAGCTACTGATTACTATATTCATTATTGCTTCTTGATTGAATACTAGGTAATCGCTAATGAATCAGAGGTGAAATGTTTCTCAACCAAGTGACGATCTTATACCTAGGACCAACTCGATTACGCATTGATCGTCCAGCTCTTGTAATACACTCCTGGCCCCCTATGCCACGACAGAAGGATTTACAACATCGACAATGTAACCACAAATTCAAGACGTCATTCAGAGGCAGACTAGGTGGAACCTCGAAAGGCAGACTACCCCTTCCTCTAAGGGCAAAGGAGGATTTTGTCATAATATAAAGGGCCTCAAATCTTTTGATATTTTCCGAGTACCAGGACTCAGAAACACATCACCACTTCCAAAATATCTTTCCCGTCCCTTGTCACCATGAAAATTTCCGCTATTACCGCCTTTGCTTTCAGCTCTATGGCCGCAGCCAACTACTGGACCGCCGAATTTTACCATAGTGATGATTGCAGTGGCAGCAACCCTTTCCAGATTGGCGACGAAGGTGTTTACGGCTGTAACAAGGCTCCCAATGGTGGAGCTTGGCACTCAGTCAAGTCTGGCCCAAACCATGGTGACTGGAAGATCTATTTCTACGAAAGCGACGATTGCACCGGTGGTAAGGGTGAACACCTCAGCACAGAGAACACGTGCCTTAAGACGGGAATCAGCGGAACCGGCGCGTATAGCTCTTTCAAGGTGAGTCTTGCTTTTCACTTGAATGTGTATCAGGTAGTCAGAGACTAACAAAACATTTGGGCTTAGGTCGAGAAGGGCTAGGGGGTTTACTAAGTTTACTCTGTTGTCTCCTTGTCATATCTACCATAGGACAGTCATTGTCTCATGTACATTGTCATTCCTGTCGGTGGGGAAAGCCTTCGGTTTTCCCGAGATTCTGGGCAATGGAGAAGAGCGAGGAGGATCTCTGAAACTACATCCATGGATGATGTACCTACTGTTGAATTTGTGATTGTTTTGACCTTTACCGCTATTTATTTGCCTTGCCCCCAGGTTTGACTGAGCGAATCATCATCAGGGTATGTCAATGAATATAGTGTTAAGAACAATCAATGATGGAACCTTGGAAATTTTGGGAATGCTGGAATCATGAATGTTTCCATTGTTTTACGCATATATTTCAATCGGTCTCTGATCTGGGCTAGTGACACCTTGATTCTGCCTATGTACCCCGTTCTATATAAACACGGAATGTAGTACAGAAACCCAGCCTTGGAGCTAGACTGAAGGAAGTTGGTCAAAAAGTCCCAAGGCCAAGGCAACGACGTTGGCTGCCTGAAAGAGGGCTTCAGCCTCGCCCGTTGATGGCCCTCTCGTCTCACCTTCGAGAGCACAATGACAACGACACCCTCAAACACCTTTCACGGCGAGAATGCGGGAGTGCAGGTTGCACACAACTATGGCAGCATCACATATGGTATGGAAATCAATAACCCTCGATTGAGAACAAAATTACTATCCGTACCTGCAGCACTGAGCCTCTGATCGAGGTCACACATCGATGTGATGAGTTCAGTGCGAGAGAACCCTGAAAAGTGGTACTTGGAGAGTCTGGGGTATTCAGGGAGTCGCCCGGTTGTCACTTGGAGAGCTTTGCAAAGAGTGCAAGAGTGCAAGAGTGCAAGAGTGCAAAGAGTGCAAAGAGTGCAAAGAGTGCAAAGAGTGCAAGAGTGCAAAGAGTGCAAAGAGTGCAAAGAGTGCAAAGAGTGCAAAGAGTGCAAAGAGTGCAAAGAGTGCAAAGAGTGCAAAGAGTGCAAAGAGTGCAAAGAGTGCAAAGAGTGCAAAGAGTGCAAAGAGTGCAAAGAGTGCAAAGAGTGCAAAGAGTGCAAAGGGTGCAACGAGGGCAAACTATGCAATAAGTGCAAAAGGTGCAAAGAGTGCAAAAGGTGTAAACAACTAATCCACTCCAAAGTTGTTCCCGAGGTTCGCAGTTGTTCCCC